CTACTGTCAGTATTATTTTTGTGACAATAAGATTGCCCAATTCCATACCTTTTCCATATTCAATAAACACACTTCTAGCTTCGAGAATTGGTATTGTTAAAATAGTTTTTGCAAGAAATCAGATCATTCGCATTTCGTTGAGGTCCTAAAGGAAAAGGTACTCTTTTACGACCAAGAAGACCATGGAATTCAATACTTGAGGGAGGGGTGGGGATGGTCAGATTGTTATTTGTTTGTTCCTCATTTTTTTGTTGAAAATCAATGCCTCCATATTTTGATTGAACATTTGGTTGTAGCAGTAAGTAACTTGTGTTCAGTCCAAGTATTCAACATAGTCCTACAGGAGGTCAATCGCGAGTCCGAGTTCATACAACTCTAACTGACGGACTGCGGCACTGGGTGACACAGGCGCGAATCTCAGAGGGGGCATAAGTTTCTTAAAAGTGGTTGCAAATACGCCTTGTTGACTGGTGAGAGTGCCAACAAGCACGAAACCTAGGTGGTCATCCAAACCTTCCTCCTGGCGACTGTCTCCAACCATCCAATAACAATAATGTCTACTCATATGCTGTGAAAGACAGGAAGAGTTCACCGGTCTTCTGTAGGAGAACCACCTACAATATTATCCACTGTTATAATTTTGCACTAGTATTCTGCAAAAGGCATCAGTCAATGAAATCCACAACAGTTAATTTAAGCCAGTGACGTAGGAAGGTGGGGGGCCTCGGGAAGGTAAACACCGATGACTGGAAACAATAGTGATATGGATCAAAATCCTTCGCAGTAGCGCAGATGCATCCACTCCTTGTGACTTATAATACCCAATAAAACTATTTTGTTCTTTGATATGAGTATTCTTTTTGCCTCGTATCTCTCTTTACTGTCTCTATTTTACGTTTCTTTTTACTTTCTTCTTCTTCTTCTCTTGCTTTGTGTGCTACATGGAGTGTATCGACTCGAACTGCTGCACATCGGTGCAAAGTTCTATGCTGAAACCATTCAGTCACTCTGTAAAAAAGTGCACACAATGTGATATGGTACACAATAATCAATTTAACTTTCCAAATCATCTTCTAAAAACGCTTGTCTACGTCTTTTCTTGCGTGCCTAGGACTAAGATGACGAATCTACCTATGCTTACAGTGGTTAGGACTCTCACCGACCATGCACATGGTCCGGGGTTCGAGCCCACGCCAGCGCACACCTGATATCTATGGTCGGCCTGCAAAATTTGGGCTACCGATATCCATGCTGAAAATTCCATACTTGTACCAAAAATACAGTGTGGAATCAAGCTGTAAATAAAAAAAAATGGGAAATATATATATATATATATATGCAGTGAAGAATTCTTGAAGTGCTAAATATTTCAGTTACGTGTGCAGCTTATGTTATTCTATACAATCTAGACCAATAATCTGTGACGCTACGATAGTTTGGTACATAACTTGTTTTGAGCCTAGGTGAATAGAACGCGGCAAATTGGATCAGATACGTTTATTATTCGATATAAGGCACAGTTGTGCAGTGCTAATAAAAATAGATGAGGTTTTGACCACGATTTACTGCTTATAATAATTATTCACAGCTTGCTTGATACAATTATATTCCTTCCTGTTTTTTCTTATAGTTTTCCATATACTTAGTGTTACTTGTTAGATGTTTGTTTAATGAACAAAGGTTTTGTCATTGATATTCTGACGCCTGCCCTAGTGACTGAATGACTGCATACAAGTGATATGTATCCACATATATACATTTATGTGTGTGTGTATGTTGGTCTCTCTTTCTGTCTGCTCGCTTAGTCTGTGACCATTTCACTTGTGTGAACTTGTCTCCTTTAATAATGTGTATTCTCCTTATATTATATTATATATAATATGAGTGTTTGTTGACAGTCCGTTGCTTGGTGACATATATCCATATATGTTGGTTGTTGACATGTCTGCTATATTTCGCTATGTATATATGGATCGATACTTCATTATAATTAGCCATTCATGTTAAGACTGTCTAATGATTGTTCACACCCTTGTCATATATATATTTCGCTCTCACAATTTGTGTGACTTACTTACTTAGGTGTGAGACCATTTATTTTCGTCTCCTTGTGTTTGGACAATAGAAGTATCATTGCAAACCTAGTGGTCTTCTGATTTCCGCCTTCTTGCGTCAGGACTATTAAATTCTCGACCAGTCCATAACAATAATTTGTTGACGAGTACATAACAACAAGTTAACGGCGTCTATCATCATTCGAGATCTAGTCAAATTCTTGTATTCTGATAACTTAACTGACTCTGATCTACTTGCTTGACCCATACATACATATATGACCTCACAATCATTGCATAGTGTTAATTAAACTATATTATTTTGTTTAATTAAGTTGTATGAATACACTAATATATGATATGATTGTGAGCAATAAATTGTACTCAAAACATCAGTCAGTGATTAATATTGTATCATTGTGCGTGTGTTTGATATGTATCCACATATATATATTTATGTGTGTGTGTATGTTGATCTCTCTTTCTGTTTGCTCGCTTAGTCTGTGACCATTTCACTTGTATGAACTTGTCTCCTTTAACAATGTATATTCTCCTTATATTATATTTATAATATGAGTGTTTGTTGACAGTCCGTTGCTTGGTGACATATATCCATATATGTTGGTTGTTGACATGTCTGCTATATATATTGTTATATATATATTTCGTTCACACATTCTATGTGAACTACTTTACTTACTTATCACTTTGGTGTGAGACCATTTATTTTTCGTCTCCTTGTGTTTGGACAATAGAAGTATCATCGCAAACCTAGTGGTCTTCTGATTTCCGCCTTCTTGCGTCAGGACTATTAGTTTCTCGACCAGACCATAACAATAATTTAACGACGAGTACATAACAATTTGGCGACGGGTAAACTAGTACATAACAGTGTTATATCGAATAAACTCAGCGAGGCGTTCAAAGTGCATACAGGAGTAAAACACAGGGCTGTCTATTATTATCAGCGATGATATTCTTAATTGTGGTGGACTGGATTATGCGTCACACAGCGCATTGGGAGCGAGGAGACACGAATATACTAGACGACGGATAAGAAGACTCTCAAAGATCTGCATTTCCCAGATGATATGTGTATAATGTTACACAAACTCGAAGACTTACAGGCAAAAACCAACAAACTGGTTGAAGAGGCAGCGAAGACAAGACTAAAGTGATAAAGATAACCAACCACCACAAGCATTCACACCATCAAAAGGGAGATATTTTAAAGAAGTTACCTCCTCCACTTATCTAGGAAGCATCGTTTTTAAATACAGGCGCGGAACGGATGAAGATGTCGAAGTCGGAATCAGGAAGGCAAGATACGGTTTCATCAAACTGCAACCAATTTGAAAATCTTCTGCACTCAACATAAGGAAGAAGATTAGCATTTTCAACACCAATGTGAAGTCGATCCTTCTATACCAGTCAGAAACTTGCACTGCGAGCGAGTCACGAAAAGGATTTCCAACAAGTCGCAGACTTTCAGTGACAGCTGCCTTTGCTCCATACTGAAGATCAAATGGCCAGAAAGAATTAGTAACAAGGAACTCTGGGAACAAACTAAGAGGCAAGAGCCGATAGCTCAACAAGCATGTAGGAGGAAATGAAGATGGATCGGGCATAAATTGAGGGGACCGTTGAATGACATAGCGCGCAATGCAGGCCATCGCTCGAGTAGAATCCCAATGGGAAGCGACGTGCGGGTTGTCAATGGGAGGGTGACATGGTGGAGAACGTGTGAAGAAGAGATGAAAGATTACAGGCAGTCGTGGGGCGAGCTAAAGAGGATGGCAGAAAATAGAAGAAAGTGGAGATGTGTTGTTGAGGCCCTATGTTCCACTCGGAACCCAAGGGAATAATAGTATTATAATAATGCAAAATTATATTCTCTACAACAGTGTTTAAAAGTCTACTCTTATAGGGATCGGATTCATCAAGTAACCGATAAACATCACTACCTGTCGTTGTTGATTGGTTGTATTCGAACCTCAAGGAAAAAATACTTTAGCTTCTAGTTGAATGAGCTTTAAACTACACTCCTCTAGCCAATAAATCAGATTTCTTTTATCTAACCACTCGCTGCCTGCTTGAATCACTGAGCTATCTAAATTTCCACCCAACATAATGCTTCATACTTTCTTTGTAATTCTTATTGTCTTAAGCATTCAGGCGCAGCAAAATGTACTCACGCACATTTTCAGTTGACTTTTACAAACTACTGGTGCGCGCATTTCGCAGAGACGAGGCAAAAAATATCATAAAGGATATTAGCCTGTGCTTTAAATCCAATAATACTGCGTCACGTGATATACTATAGACTGCTAATTTACTTAAAAATACTGAATGAAGAGAAAATGTTACGCAACAAATTACACTGAGAATTCTGTACGCTGTGTTAATATTTTCTTCAGTGTTAGTATACGGATCAGAGACTTGGCGCCGCGTCACGAAGGTCATCTCGAACAAACTACAGACCTTCATCAACAGCTGTCACTGCTGACTGAATACTACTCAAGATCAGATGGCCGGTCAGAAGAGATCAGCAACAGGGATATCTTTGGCAATGAGCGAACCAACCAGCAGGACCCGACTGTGCAACAAATATTCAGGAAGAAATGGAGGTGGATTGGTCATACTCTGAAAAAACAAACCATCAATTGACATCACACGCCAGGCTATTGCTCGAGTGGAACTCGAATGGGAAGTTGCAAGTTGGTTGATCGTCAATGCGAGGGGGACATGGACAAGATCATGCAACGACGAGATGAAGCCATGTGGCCAGACGTGGAGCCAGCTGAAAACGCTAGTGGAGAACCAAAAGCAATGGAGATGTGCGGCTTAAGCCTAAAGGAGACATATAACCATTTAAAGCCGCCTATCCTTCCATCATCTATAGACTACTCGATTGCTTTTCTAATTGAAAAAGAAAATTCCTAATGTGTGTATAAAATAGAATCATTGTTTGAGTAAATGTACAAAGAATTGAATTTAAAAAAAACAAACTGTTCGAACAGTATGTAATGAAAAAAATCCCAGTTCTACTGTTTATTTTTTCCAGGATTCTCTTCACCAGCACCAGCACTACCAACAGTTGCAGTTGATGTTTGCGTTTGATTTAATTGACGTAGCACTCTTAAAGCACGTTTAGCTGCCAAGCTTTTAGCCAGACGATAATTTCTTCCAACTCCATAGAATCGACCTTTACCCAATACATGAGCACAAACAGAAATCCGTCCATCAACCATTCTACGAGGTCGTCTAAAAAGAAAAATAAATCAATAAATAAAAATAAATCACAGAGATTACGGAATTTCATCATGAACTGACATCATTTACGGGAACAGTGGAAAACCAGCACTGGAGTACTGGACAGCTGTTTCGTCAGCCTAGTTTAGGACTCTTCTACAGTATGCACCCACTCCACCGCGGACTACAATGTGAGCTTAAAGATCATCAAGCCACCGACCCGACCCAATGGGCTATAAATTCCAACTTCTGCTAACTCATGATGTTGACTAGTAAATGTATAGCTGTAGAATTTCAATTGCGGCTTTTTTAAAATAAGGAATCAAGAAAGTCCAGATATCTAAGGGATCATTACTTCCTATGAGATGATCGTGCTAACTGGGTAGGTGTGACATATGAAGGACAGAATTCGGTTTGACAGTTTTCTATTTATATTGAATTTTATTGGCGAAAAATGCACTTCACAGTCGCATAGTAAGTCTACACCTTTACCGCTTTCTCTGTGGCTATGCATATAAATTGATAATAACTTGAACTATGTATGTTAGTGTTGACATTTGGGAAGCTTTCATGTATAATATCTCCTTTACTAATGAAGAAAATAGAAGACAATTCAGTGGAGAAAATTTTCTTTTATCAACGAAATCATCTTCACAGTCGTATTTATATTTTCAAGTATTGGTTTTGTAGGGATTTTGTTTTGATTGCATGGAGGATTTCATCATGAGCTGGGTTCGAACCCTCTTGGACGCGTACTGCTGAAGAGTCCCAAACTAGGACGAAACAGCTGTCCAGTACTCCTAGGTTTTCCAATGGTTCTCTAAGTGATGTCAGCTCATGATGAAATCCTCCATGTATTTACATTTACGGAAAATGTATAGTAGTCCATTATTGAGTAATATGGGTGTGTGTGTGTGTGTGTGAAATAATTGATATAATTACTCAGAAATGGCTTTAGAAGTAGAAATAGAAATTATAAATTACGTAATACTCAGCGGAACAAAGCAGGAAGGGCTTGGAAATTTGATAAGGTTAAAATTGTTATTGAGTAGGAAGAAAGGGTAGTTCAGTGTCCACGTAACAAGTGTAAAGAGGGTGAGCAAATGTACAAAGGAACATGTGAGGGTGATAATAGTAAATTAATTATTAAAACAGAAGCAACTAATCATTAAAAATAAAAAAATTACAAGGAACGACTAGTGAAGAGGTCAGTGGCCATGGTAGAATAAGAGACAGGACAAACGTCTTCTCTATACAGAGTTCTAGGTTGTATTGACGTATTGTCAACACCTTCGCCACATAGAAATGCTGAAAGCCAACACCTTTTGTACCATTTGATGTCACCCTGTAGATAATCTTGAAAGACGACTCTTGTGGAGCTGCATGGCAAGTAAGTGTTCGAGAATTGAGCTAGTAACTAACTCTCTTGCGTTGTCATTTTGTTAACGATTCTGGATAATGCGTTGGGAAAGTGTGCACAGGCTACATGCTGCTTTTGTTGTATGATTTTAATGATACTACGCAATTACCCAGACTGGAGACGGCGGAGTGGGGGTACTTGTAATACAATACACTTTCTGATAAATAATTCTAATATTCGTTTACTGTCTATTCTAATGCAAAAATCAATGGATTTATAAATGTGAAATGGGATGGAATGTAACTATGACAACCACTTATAATTCCTATACATTTTGGAAATGAGCCACACCTAAACTAGGGGGTTAGGGTTACTCTGTCTGGTTACTGAAACCTCAATAAGTCGAACCGGACTCAAACCCTGTAACCCACTAGTTGGATACAGTTCCATGTTTACAATTGCGCGGCCTCAAGAAGAACCCCGGACGACAAGTGTTACCTTGTCGTGGTGGTCGGGCTTGAATATCACAGTGTCCCAACAAGCTAACCTGGCTAGGACTCATGTTCCTGCAGGTTCTACCATGTCAGGAAGGTTGTTTGGATGGCGGTTAAACTAAAGGCAGTTACCATGGGCTGCATGGATTCCAAAATCCAATCAGATCAAATGGCGTATGAACGTGTATTGGTCACCGGGGACCATGGGAACGTAGCTGCTGTCGCTGCCTTTCGGATTAGACTGCAAGTCGAAGGCTCGGGAGAGGCCCCTTACGACAATCAGCTGCTTCTGTCTAGGTGCCGCGGCAGCATCTCAGCCCTCAAATAATCAATGAAATGTTGTGTGGCGCATCTTCTTGGTGCCATATTGTACAAAGTTATTTGTGTTTAAATCAATAAATACTCAAGAAGGACAACTACTCGCTCTAATACGTCTTCTGTTGTTTCTATGCAATGCGATAAGACGTCTTTCTCTTTTCTTGCTAAAACAGTTTCTGTGATAAATTTATGCATGTATGTATATATTATCAAGATGCATAATAGACTTACTCGAATTTAGTTCCTTCTGGTTCCAATTCTAATAATTGTCTAACAGGTGATTTTGGAATGCAAGCAGTATATCTTTCTGTAGAAATAATTATAAAATAAACAAGGAAATGAAAATTAGATGAATTTCTGCAGTACAAAGCATTTTAATGAAAACCACCCCTATTAAAGTGAGTTAGTTATCAGTTATTGTAAGTCTCTCTAGTGTAAAGAAATAATCGCTGAGGACGATTTGGAAGCTAAACTACCAGTAGATTCGACCCAGCAACATCTAAGCTGCAAACCCGCATCCTTCTTCAGAGCGGAGAGGTATCATAGCTGGCTTGATGGTCGGCTGAGGGAAACATCTTACTACTATTACACCCCTATTTGCCAGAAGTACAACTACAACACAAAACTCAACGCAGTGTGAGTGATTTACACTATGCTGGTAGCTGCTTTTAGTCTAAACGCTATCCAAAGAAACGTTCTGGGATCGGAGGATCTGCAGGATTATTAGTTCCAACCAGTGTAGCTCGTTGACTGACTGTCTGAATGGTTTCAACATATTGAACTTTCTACAAATGTACACCAGTTCCAGTCACCACACAAAGCAAGGGAAGACAATAAAGACAAATTCAAAGGATAGATAATAGCCAGAAGTGTGAGGGAAAAACAATAGTGGAAATATGGAGGAACAATAGAGGTTTATTGGATATCACTGACAAATTGCAAAGAATGAATCCATCTGTACTGTCATTGAAAACGACGATTTCCAGCCATATCACCAATCATTTCCAGCCGTCATTGGTTTTAACCACCCCGACGACTCCAACCAACCAGTCAGGTAGTCTACACCTCCCTTCCTACGTGTCTGACTTAAACTAACTGTTATGTATTTCGTTAGCTGGTGAAGCCATTTTTCTTGGTTTATCACTACGCGCTAGCTTTTTTCCAACCTGATCGATACTATATCAGCTGACACTGCCCGTCGAGGGAGGCGGTGGTAGCTCTTTGGATCCTTGCGACATACAGGCCTAACAACCACGTTGACGCGGCAGCTATCCGGGGGGGGGGAGGTAAACTTACTTACTTTTACTTTATTTCGGCTATCTCCTACGGGAGGATGAGCCGGCTTCATGAACATCTCGAATCATCGCTGCCCAGGCGCGGCGATCTGATGCAAGGTTTTGCGAATTTTTGTTCCACAGACGGAGTCCGTAGACGGTTTGTAGCCCCAGGCACTCAATATCAGCCTTGACTGGAATTTGGTTGATGTTGTAGAGAGTTCATGAAGTTTCATGGGGATTAGGTACGAGTGATGTCCGCAGCATCGCTCGGCCTTTTGTTTGAGAGTGCAGCTCTAGCCTTTACACAGCCAAGTGTGACCTACAAGGCAGTAGGAGTGGAGTAAGGAGTCCACTATCCATTGGCAGCCGGTGACCGGAGTCCGGTTCATACGCCTTTTTGAATGGGGCCAGTGATAGGATCCCACATATTTTGGTATTGACTGTTTAAACTTGCATAGATGGTATGTTATCATTCCACACATTTTGGTATTGACTGCTAATTTTGTATATTATCATTCTCACGCATTTTGGTAGTGACTGCTAATTTTGTATATATGGTATATTATCATTCCCACACATTTTGTTACTGACTGTCAATGTCGCACATATGGCATATTATCATTTCTCACACACTTTGTTATTGGCTATTAAGATAAATTATTTCAAATGCTGTTAGCTGTCCATATTGTTGTAAAATGTATAAATACCATGGCTTTCTTTATCGTTGTTGCACCTCAATACACAGTCACAGTCCAGCCTTTGTCTTTTGATATTTGCGTGCGTTACTAAGTCGGAAGGTACGACGAGCAGATAGACAGATTAGTTCAGGCGCAGACAGAATAAGGTGAAAACGTCTTCATTCAATTCCCTACAGTTATAATAGCCAGACATCCAGGGCATCCAATAAGCCCTTTGTCCATACGTCTGCCGGTGAGCTCCAGTGAGCTTCATACGCCAGTCGTTGGAGGTTTGGAATCAGGGTTTAGCCATCTCCCCTAGACTGTCATCCAATGGACAGTCAACCTGGTGAAGAGCGCCGGGTATCCGCTTTTGCCCTCTCCCTTCGGTGAAAAACACCTCCGCCACGTGAAGGCAGTGAGTAGGACTTCCTCAGGAGAGGCTCTGTAAGACGCACGGTCATATAGGAGCATTTCAGGTGTACGGAGGGGTGGCCAACCCGCAGCGCAAGGCACCCACCCCTGACCATCCTGAGGCTTTGGAGGCGTGGAGGTAAACACTGAGTAATTGAGTATAATAACACAGTCTGTAAGGCATTGAATAACATTGTATGGCATGCAATATGGCCATCCAGATGTTAACATGAGGTTTGGGACTTGAACTGGTAGTCCACCGTCTGAGCACAAATAAATAAGCTATATTCTTTTGGTGTGTACCTTTGATCGATGTTAGCTGTTAGGAACAACCTATGTCGTATAGTGGTACTGGCTAAGGCAGTTCGGAGTGATGTAAACACCGGAAGACTGTTTCGGTCATCTCTGGACGAGATAGTCAGTAAAGAAAGCATCCAATTAAACTTAACTCAGGTAACCAAGTCAGTTCACACTATCAAAAGGGTGTGATTTCTAAATGACGAATCACCAATGTATTGAATTGAACTTTTAACGTCACACCAGACTTAACACAATGAAACTTTACACATTGACTAGTCACTAGGCAGTAACCAATTTTATGCATCTATTCTTTAAGTGTCGGTGCAATACTGACTGAATACAGAAGAGATCAATCGTTTTACACACGGCTGTGATATGAGTGAGTGATACGTGCGACTCTATCAGTTCCTTATTATCGTGACACTAACTGCTATGACAGATGACCAATCAATGTATCCACCATTACAGACATACAGCAGGCCAGTTTCTGGATTGAACAGACCCAATGGTGACTTCTCTGACTGCATCGCTACATGACGCGGGAATATCAGTTCCTTCAAGGCTTCAAGTACGAGGCCTTGCTGATGAATCCAAACAAGCACGAATTCTAGGCTCAGGTCTTCCTGCCGATCACCTCATCTAGCACAATGAGACTTTATGTCACAAAAAGGAACACAATCCCTACTTTTCGTTAAATGGACTTCACAGGAACAGCATAAACATGTTATCGAAATATCGACTTTTATGAACATATAATTTGTATATAGGAATGTTTGTATCTAAGTTCAATATGGGACTGTTGTTTTAGCCTATCGTCATACACCTAATGTATTTTCTACAAGTTAGACAATACAATAAGTGGAATCATGGTTCAGTTGGATTATCCAATGTAGAATAGAAATAACAACGGTTAAAAGAAAATGACATTAATGAGTTATTCACAAGTAGGTAGCGAAGACAACTGATGGGTAAAGACTTTCCACTGATCTTTTCTCGATTTACACAGAAGCAAGAGATTCTTGCTCAGAGTATTCAGAACATGCGCCCACTAAAATGTTGACTGTTGAGTATGTTATCATCGTTCTTAAATTGTATATGACAGACAATTTAGTACATACGTTTACTGCCCTCTACAGGTAGGCTTAAATCAACTTGAATACTCTCCTTAGTTCATTGACTATACGTCAAACTTTAGTGGTAAAAAAATTTAATTGGCAACCAGAACTAGATGTGGATCATATCTTGTTTTAATTGAATTTAAGGTTTTCCCGTCGATTGACTGAACCGAAGTGCTCGATCTCAGGTTGACATGTCTGTTGACTTCTTGTGCAGATGCTTCAAACGATATTTAGGCATTTAACTGGAATTTAATTCGTGGATAGTAACTGGCAGCGCATCCTGGATTCCACTGCTAGTCACTATCATCCACCAATTAACTTCTAATTACATGCCCAGGCATTGTCGAAGAATGTGCATAAGAAGCCGACATGTCAACCTGAGACCGAGCACTTCGGTCCAATCCATCGACGGGAAAATCTAAAATTCAATTAAATAATTAATATGACCCGTTACACAAGAGGTGGCTCTCGTCGCTCAAGTGGTCTATAGTGGATAACGCTTTGGCGTTTGAAACTATGAGCACTGAGTTTGAGCCTCATTGTTGGGAAGGTTATCACTCACTGCAGAATGCAGGTACATCCAGAGGACGAGTCCCAAATAGAACGAAATGCGCTTTATTCTGGATTCCACTGCTAGTTACTATCCGCAAATCATATCTTGTTTTATTTAGTTGTAATCCAAGACGCGGATTACGTCCTAATTGTAACTCATCATCTGGATGTGTCTACATCCACGGTGAGACCTGAACCTATATACTAGGAGCCGACAGATCAACGAGAAACTTCAAAGGTGGTAATTTCGATCGATATCCAATATATGCCTCCAAAGCCTCAGGATGGTCGGGGGGGGGTGTCTTGCGCTGGGGGTCGGCCACCTCTTCGTACACCTCTTGAAATGCTCCCATATGACCGTGCGTCTTACAGAGCCTCTCCTGAGGAAGTCCTACTCACTGCCTTCACGTGGTGGAGGTGTTTTTCACCGAAGGGAGAGGGCGAAAGCGGACAACCCGGCGCTCTTCACCGGGTTGACTGTCCATTGGATGACAGTCTAGGGGAGATGGCTAAACCCTGATTCCAAACCTCCAACGACTGGCGTATGAAGCTCACTGGAGCTCACCGACAGACGTATGGACAAAGGGCTTGTTGGATGTCCTGGATGTCTGGCCCCATTCAAAAAGGCGTATGAACCGAACTCCGGTCACCGGCTGCCAATGGATAGTGGACTCCTTACTCCACTCCTACTGCCTTGTAGGTCACACTTGGCTGTGTAAAGGCTAGAGCTGCACTCTCAAACAAAAGGCCGAGCGATGCTGGGGACATCACTCGTACCAAATTCCCATAAAACTTCATGAACTCTCTTACAAATTGCCGCGCTTGGGCAGGGATGATTCGAGATGTTCATGAAGCCGGCTCATCCTCCCGTAGGAGATAGCCGAAGTAAAGTAAAGTAAAGTAAGTAATATCCAATATATGCTGCTATCTCAAACGACTGGTGAGTGTGAAAACTGAAATATAAAGTTGGATAAGAACCAGACTAAAAACAGTACAAATCATGAGTTAGTAGGTAAACAGAATGCATATATATGTATGGATGCGAAATAAGTGAACTAACCAATTCGTTCCTTCATGATGGGATAGAAAACCTGCCAAACAGTATCCAGACTGAAATTCGAGTCAAGAAATATAGCACCAGCCAATGATTCGAAGATATCACCTAAAGCTTTAGGTATTTCTACATCATCAGATAAACGATTAGGCGTTAAACTATTCTTGTTTTTATTATTATTATTATTATTAGTGTTATTGAGGTTGTTATTTTGGTCGCTGGATTTCAGTTGATTCTGTTGACATTTCGACGGTTGTTGTTTATTGTCAGTCTATTGAAGTTGAGAAAAAGAGAAGGAAAATAGGTGAAAACACACATACACAGAAGGTTAGATTATATATGTGGAGGAAAGAATGATATATTAATGATGGGGAATATTTTTGTGCGACTATATTGACATCTTTTAGTTTAAGGCGGTGTGATGATGATGATATTTGCTGGAATATAAGAGATATCAACGCCATTTGCCTGATGCTTGCAGTTTGCTGTGATTTACCTGTGCACATGAGATGAAGCTTCCGTTATTTTCTTCTAAGAGGGATTCGTTCGGTTTCAAGTTAGATAACGAATTGAGATCCATCCGTTAATTACTAAACAGCAAATTAGAGACGCTATTGCTGCTTTGATGACAGACCTCCTGTGTGTAATGTAATAAATATAATACTGATTAGCTGTTAGAAAGTAACTAATGTCATATATCTAGCCCTTAGAGTGGGTTCTACTCTCTCAGAGTGAAGCATACTGGGTGACGATCACCTGGAGGGGGACGGGGGCATAAGTTACTTTAGAGTTGTAAATACCACCTAGCTGACGAGTGCTAGTCAACACAAGAATTCCAGGTAGGCAAAGAGGTTCCTTTACCAACCTGTTCTAACTATCTAACATTAATCGATAACGTTTGTTTTGAAAATTAGATGATTAGGTCAAACAGCTGGTTTATTTTGATCTAGTGGATAAGCGAATAACTCATTCTGCACATATTGATAGAGAAAAATTCAGAATTTCAAAATAGTTTAAACTGATTTCAAACCTTTTTCATACCTTTCAAGAGATGCAGACAATTAAGAGGATCGCGTATTGAAATATATATATGAGTAATAAATATAAGTCAATTAGAATCAAATTCATGATTTGCAAATTAGGCACATTTCGAGGTGAGAATTTACCACAATTTCTTGCGCAAACGCAAAATGTTTAAGTGTTGACTTGCAAGGATCTCATCATGAGCTGACATCAGTTGGAGAATCACTGGAAAACCGACACTACAGTACCGGACAGCTGTTGCGTCAACATGCTTTGAGACTCTGCAGTAATACGCACCCACTGGGGTTCGAACCGCCGCAGAAGCTGGGATTAATAGGCTTAATGGCCTGCGAGCTCATCTTGGTTTTGGGAACTCCTGGATTTGAACCTCAATGGGTGCGTACTGATGAACAGTCTCACGCTAGGACTGAACAGTCCTCCAGGATTTGCAAAATATTTAAATCACATTATGTGTCACAAGTTAAATGCACAAAATAGCATACAACAAAGTAAACAGAATTTTATCATGATAGGTATATATATATATATATATATATATATATATATATATATATATATATATATATATATATATATATATATATATATATATAGATATCGGTAGCCCAAATTTAACAGGTCGACCATAGATATCAGGTGTGCGTCGGTGTGGGCTCGAACTTTGGACCATGTGCATGGTCGGCGAGAGTCCTAACCACTGTGCCACCGACGCATATATATACTAGTGGCTGATATGAGTAGTATATACCGTCAGGAAGAACAACATAATAAATTCATTAATATTCTCTACACTAAGTATCTAGTCTTTTTTGTTGGTTGCAGACTGAACTCTATCAGTCAAGTTTGCAGTATGTATTATTGTATTATTATTGTTCCCTTGGGTTCCTAGTGGAACATTGGGCTTCAACTCCACGTCTCCAATTCCTTCTGTCTTCTGCTATACTTTTCACCTGTATCCATGTTAGTCAGTCCATACTCTTTCAACTCCTCTTCGCACAATCTCCTCCATGTCACCCTTACACCGACGTCCAACTCGCCGCTTCCCTTTCGGCCTGGTTCCACTCGAGCGATGGCCTGACGCACGCGCGATGTCACCCAGCGGCCTCCTTAGCGAGTGTCCAATCCATCCATCTCCACTTTCTCCTGCATATTCGTTGGTTGGCGACTGCTTCTTATTTTCAATACATTTCTCATAGTTTCTTGTTGGTTATTCTTTCCAACCCGGCCATATGATCTTCAGTATAGAGCCAGCGAAGACATTTGTTGATTGATAAAGGTCTGCAACAGGCGTCTGCTGTTGGAAATATTCTCTGTGACCCACCCGCCTGACAAGTTTCTGATCCGTATAGAAGAACTGACTGACTTGACGTTCGTATTGAAAATCCGACTGGACTTTGTTGTTGATGCTGGCTGAGTGACGAAGATTTCCAGATTGGTTTCAGGTTGATGAGTGAATGTGTTTCTCGCCTTCCCGATTCTCGATCGATTTGACATCCTCGTCCGTTCCTCCTGTGGTTGAGACAATGCTCCTCCCTCCCGTTGATGGTGATTGGCGCTGGATGTTGCTGTTGTTTGGTTGGTTATTTTCATAACCTCCGTTTTGTCGATGTTCACCTGAAGTCCTGTCTACGCCGGCTACTTCTTCGACCAATTTGTCGTTTTTCGCTTGTAAGTCTTCGATTTTGTGTGACATCAAACATAAATCATCCACGCGTGAAATTCAGGTCTAGGTTCTTCACGTCGGTCCAGGATATCCCTGCCTTCTCGTTTCCCACTCACTGTCTGACGCATAAGTTTGCAGCCACCCAGCATGTAGCAAACAAAGGAATAGATGCATGACACTAGTTAGTGTGCAATCAAAATATCTAATACAGTCCTACAGGAGGTCAATCGTGTACCCGAATAGCTTCTCAGTTGGGTAACTAATGTCTCTGACTGTAGCCACTGGGTGACACAGGTTCAAATCTCAGCGGGTAGGGGACATGAGTTCCCGCAAGATTGGAGTGCCAACAAGCGCGAAACCTAGTTGGTCAAGGGTTTCTCACCAATCGCCTCTAACCATGTAAGAAAAATAAGTAAATAAATACACATACACTTACTGAATCTTGTACAAATAAACCAGTTAATTCTTTAGTATCCTGTGCTTGCCATCTAGATTCACATTCTGTAGCTTTATTCAATAATGGTGCATGTTGTTCATCTTCTTCATCATCATCATCCTCCTCCTCCTCTTCATCATCGTCCTCGACGTCATCTTCATCGCGGTCACCATCATCATCATCATTATCATCGTCACCATTATCTTTATTCTGATGAGGACGACGACGACGACGTGAAGTTTTAGACTTTGATTTCTGCTTATTTACTTTTACAGTATTAACTTTTGGTAGATTGGATGTGTTAACATTAGTACTATCGCTGGTTAAATGATTCATTGTCTCTTCAATAAATGTATCAACTAATTCCGGTTGACGTATTTCAATTTCCTACAGGGAATAAAAGGAAGAGAGAGAGAGAGAGAGGAAAAGGCTTCTCTTTTGTAAACCAGTAAGAGAACGATGTCGAATAATGTAGACATCTGTACAGTATTTTATTCTTTTACCTTTCGAGTAAGACATAGGACTTCAAAGCTAGAGCTCTGAAGTTTTTTCTTTACTGGGTGGGACTGCCAGCTTCACACCCACCTAACCAACCAACCCCTCTCGTCTTTCCCGGCTTAGTGAGGTTTAGGAGTGCGTCGGCGAGGAGTCGAAATCCGCATCAAGTGCGGCGTGGTTGGCGAGCGATCTTCCGCTGAACCACTGAAGCACACGTTCATACAACATTGATTGATGTAATTAACTGCGAACGCGGGCATACACATCAGTATTTTATGAATAAGTCATGACATCCAACTTTCTCGCATTTATTGATCACATAGTAGTCTGATAAATGTAGATTTTGGAAGGTATGTATATACAGTGAGCTGAGGTTATCGATGCTTTCCTGTAGAGATAAACATTTGAACCAATCAGTCAGTGGCCAAAATCAGAGAAATCATAATTGTTCCAACAAAGTCTGTTAAGTGAGCATTCAAATAATTTTAAGGAAATTACGATGAGAAGCGAAAGTTACTAAAACGTCAGCTGACTGAAAGCTTTTTAAAATTTTTATTCCTATACGTCCCCAGTGGAACATAGGGCTTCAGGCTTCTTGATTTATGAAGTTTCGGTAGCAGAGGGATTTATTTATACGGGATGGGATTGCTAGCCTCATGCCCAACCTTCCCTCTTTACCAGTCTTACTACTGGCTTAGCGAAGTAAAGGAGTGTCTCCGTCGACTGGGGATCGAACCCTGAACCACCTGCGCGATTGGAGAGCGTCCTACCGCTATGAAACCGACTAAAAGCTTCTAGGAAACAATTGCAAAACGACTAATATGGTACCTAGTACCTAAGATTCTAGGCTGTATATTCGTACTGGGGGACCTAGTGCAACGAACAAGTTTCATGTCTGAATGAGGGTACATCGACACAAAATTTATACTTTAACAATTTGTGGGACATATTTATATATGTATATGTGGTTCGGGGTGCGATGGGCCCGGCTGACGCACTCTTGTACCTAGCTAAGCCAGTAATAAGACCGGTAAAGAGGCTAGGTTGGGCATGAGGCGCCTAGAAACCCCAACCCGTAAAGATAAACACCATTGCTACCTAAACTTCAAGCTTCTAGCTTGAAGCCGCATGTTCCACTGGGACGTACAGGAATAAAAATAATAAAAAAAATACACATAAACTAGAGGGTGTGAAGTCAAAGAGAAGCAACCAAACCTTGACATTCAAGGTCACCAGGAGAGATGACTAATAAACTTGTGGAGAAATTCAAATGCTCACTTCAAATTGAAGTCTTCGCTGAAGTGAGGATTTGTTTAGTAGGGCGATGAGAGCTTAGCAAGTGAACTATCCAGCTCAGAGAACACAACCACTGAATCAAAATCATCCACCTGAGCTACAGATCTTCTCCATTCTATGTATCTAACAACAAAAGTTGTCCAGGGCTACGAGTAAGTAGTCTCTATTTGAGTAATAATCACGAATAATAATATTACTAGGGTGTGCAATATTGAGGTTAAGCGTCGAGTGCTAGGTACGTGAGGGGAAATCAATAGACAAGGCTGTGAAGTTACATCCATTGAGATGGTTAGGACATATGTTACGCATACCTACCATCGCCTCTCTCGACAACGGGCAATGTTAGCTGACATATGATCAGGTTGGAAAAGACTTGGTTAGTGGTGGTCAAACCAAAACATGGCTTCATCAGTCAATGAAATCCACAACAGTTGGTTTAAACCAGTGATGTAGGAAGGTGTAGACTTCCTGATTGGTTGGGGTCCTCGGGACGGTAAAAGCCGATGAAGGCTGGAGACAATTGGTGATATGGCTCAAAGTGATCGTTCTCAATGGCTGGGGGAGATGCATTCACTCCTTGTGACTTATAATTTCCAATAAGAATTGTATTTTTCTTCTATGTTTCGCATTGCTTTTTTACTTTCTTCTTCTCTTGCTTTGTGTGCTACATGGAGTGTGTCGACTCAAACTGTTGCACATCGGTGCAAAGTTCTATGGAAAAATCAGTCAGCCAGTCACGAATACAAACAGTCACAGTGACACTTACCTCATTTGTAATAAAATCTAAATCATCCTTAGCAACATCTTTTTGATACCGAACAAATACATCGATTGTATGCAATAATTGTGGTGATGATGCACGAAAATATCGATGCAGGCCAATACGTACAGCCAATGCAGCAAATATATTATTATTCACTAGTGCTGATCTTAAATCAGTTAGTATACCAGGTGAATGTTGTTTAGAATCTTCATACAAGAAACGAGTTATCACATAGTCTAAGACAGCATCACCTAAAAATTCCAAACGTTGATAACAGTCCAAATCAGTTGGAAATTTAATACGTTCATTAGAATCCGGTAGTACACGAAGTTGATGATAAGATGGATGTGTAAATGCCTAGAAAAAAAATAATAAAAGACAAAATACATGGAAATTGTGAGATATGTAGAGAGAAAATTAAAATCAAAGCCAATCTCCAGTTCACTGATAGCTACTGGATGAATGTCCTGAAGCAGTCATGACCATTGAGGTCCACGCCATGTCAAGGTGAAGGGGATACACACACACACACTGAAGGGATTGACTATCAGTAGCGCTGTGTTATCACGAGTTGATAAAGATAGAATCCCTGAACATTATCCGGCAGGGTTAGCAAAAGGACAATGCAAGACAGTTAGTTACTAGCTCAATGCTCGAGTACTTACTTGAAAGACTCAAGCCATGCAACTTTACCAGTCGTCTTTCAAGATTATCTACAGGATGAGACCGAACGGTACAAATGACGTTAGATTTCGATATCTGTGTATGGTAGAGGCGTTGGTCATTGGTCAATACAACCCCGAACTCTGGTCTGATCTCTTTTATTCTACCATAGTCTTAATCCCCTCATCAATAATTGTTCCCTGTAGTTTTTTTTAATAGTTAATTCACTATTATCACTCTCACATGTTTCTTTTGCACGTTTTTTCACCCTCTTCACTCTTGTTAAGTGGACACTCAACTACCACCTTTCTTCTCACTCAATAACCATTTTAACCTTATCAAATAAACTTTCTTCCTTTGTTCCGTTGAGTATTATGTAATTTATAACATCTATTTTTAATTTTGAAGCCACTTCTGAGCAATTATATCAATTGTTTAACACAAATCTCCGTATTGTTCAATAACAGTCTACTATATATTTTTGGAAAATGTGAATACGACTGCGTACATCCTGTGAAGATGATTTCGTCGATAAAGAAAATTTTCTCCACTGAACTGCCTTTTATTGTCTTTATGACTCATTCAGTATTTTCAATGATTTCAAAGTTAGAATACAAGGATCATTAAATTACAGTCGGAGTGGTTGAATGATTAATCGCGATTCGGAGGCCCTAGGTTCGATAACCTATGGGGGGAGTCGAGGGTGCGCACTGTTGAAGAATGAGTCAAAAACTGCGAAGAAACAGCTATCTAACAACTGAAATTAAAATAACATTCTCTCTTATCAGAATATTTTTGTTTATTTCTTGTTTGAACCAAACATTTATTTGTCTACTATGTACAGATTTCCTAGGCAGCTAACTCAAATAAATATACACGTTCGTTTGCAAACACTCTTATTCACCCTGACTGAATGCTTACTCTGTAACAACAGAAGACAAGGGCCAGGCAACAGATCGTTTTATTACGGAAATCAACACGTATTTATATAAATTTCACATACATTATTATAGCCTAGTCAAGTAGACGAACGCAGTCTTCTGATTGGTTGTTTTCGAGTTCCTCGGGAAGTGGAGCCATCTATCTGCGAATCATATTTGCTCACGCTTAAGTTTGTTGTGATTGGTTGCTGAAACAGCCTTGTTCATATTTTCTCACGGCCCATATTAGTGACCTAGACATTGACGTAGACTAATGTCAACCAATTGGCTAGCAGGCTGCTCTCACCACAACTCTTTATTCTAGTAACTGGTTGCCCCTTTTGGAAATTTGCCAAAAATACTATTCTTCATTCCAAATAAGCATCGATGGCCAGATCAATAGATATACATATTGGAGAAACATCATCAACTTAAACTTCCCAGAGAGTGATGTTGTTCCAAATTGAGACTCAAACCGTTTCAAAGCTGGAATGCAGGCACATCTAGTTGATGACTGTTCCAGATAGGACGATATGCGCATCCTGGATTCCACTGTTAGTCACCATTAACTAAACAGAGACTAAACCTTACCACAAGTAGTTGAGTATTCTCATAACTTCCCGATTTTTCATAAATTTACTATTATATTGTTTAATTGTCTTGTAGTATTTTGATTTAATTTATAATATGTATTCCTCTTATGTTAATAGTCAGGCTTACCTCAAAATTATATTTCCTGATTAACTCTTGGACAGATAATACAGTAACCTAGTTAGGTAAGAGATCAGTTACTCACCTATATATATATATATATATATATATATATATATATATATATATATAGTGGGAAACGAGCAGACAGGAGGTGGATTGGACACTCGCAGCTGAGGAGGCCACTGGGTGACATCGCGCGCGCGTCACGCCATTGCTCGAGTGGAACCCGAAAGGGGAGCGGCGAGTGGGACGTCGGTGTGAGGGTGACATGGAGGAGATCGTGTGAATATGAGTTGAAACAGTATGGACTAACATGGATACAGGTGAAAAGTACAGAAAAAGACAGAAGCAAGTGGAGACGTGTAGTTGAAGCCCTATTTTTGTTTTTATTTTTGATTACAGCTTGATTCCACACTGTATTTTTGGTACAAGTGTAGAATTTTCAGCATGGATATCGGTAGCCCAAATTCGCAGGCCGACCATAGATATCAGGTGTGCGTCGGCGTGGGCTCGAACCTTGGACCATGTGCATGGTCGGCGAGAGTTCTAACCACTGTGCCACCGACGCACATACATGTTCCCTTAGGAACCCAAAGGAACAATAATAATAATATATCGTGAATTAGCAGAAGTTGGAATTCATGAGTTGGTCATTGGGGATTCAGGTCCTAGTGACGGAATGGTCTACAAGGTCGCCTTGTACCGGAAGGGCCTGTAATCAAACTCCCAGTGTGTACCGATTAAAAGTTCTGAACTAGGCCGATGAAAACAGCTGTCTAGTACTTCCATGCTTTCCAGTAGTCCTCTAACTAATATCAACTCATCAGCAAACCTGTAACCATTTCAGTAACTATCCATAGAAAATATTTATAGAGACAATAAAGTTTCATGTCATTTGAATTGTTGACGTCAAGAAATGAAATGGATAGGAAAACTGAAACAAAACACGTAATACTCAAGGACTGTATTTCAAGTTGTCAAGACTACTCATCAAAACGACTAAATCAACACTTACTTGGCGTATTAAACTATTTTTTGTATGGGTTTCTGCGAAGTGGAGAAATATTTTGAGCCTACATTCTACTGACTCGGTTGATATAATTTTTAAATTTTGGAGATAATTCCCAATTATTATGTGGTTGGACATAATCGACAGGAAGTTCTCAGAGTAGGTTTCGAGCTTGTTGGGCTAACATCAACAAGGTATATATCATCTTCAGAGTTTACGGGACTTATGAGTCCTCAATAATTCAAACCTACGAAGACAACCAATGTTGCAGTTAAAGAAGTTATCAGTGAGTTATTTGCGCCCATTACCGACTTGTGACTGATTGAGAAAAGCTTTGTGTGCATATGAGTGTGTGGGTAGTTATTACTTCTAGGCTGCTCACCACACCGTGAAGGTGACTGCTTTTTACAATACCTGAAACATAAGGCTCATTAGATTTACATGAGCGCACAACTCAAGGATAACTGGCTGAGGCCGGTCACGTACTCGCTATTCGAAGTGGTCATTGCAGTTGTGTCCGTTAGTTGGGATGTGCAATTTTCAGGTCGACATTTTGAAATCCTACTTCTCCAGGAGTAAAGACAGCACAAATGGAAGTTGGTTATCTGCTGTTACACCTCTATATGCTAGCAGTAAAACTTCCTCCTAAGGCCTATCCATAACATAGTAATGTGGTGAGAGCTGGCTGCTAGCCAAATTGGTAGACAGTAATTTACGTCGATGTGTACATCTTCAATATTGGTCATGAGAAAAATAAGAACAGAGACTGACTCAACAACCAATCACAGCACACTTTGCGTAGGCGGATACAATTTGCAGATAGATAATCTGAACTTCAAGAAACGGTTACAAACAGATGAAAGATTAACGTTTAGCGAGAAATCACCAATCAGAAGACTGTGTTTGTTTGCTTACAATAATCTATCATAATGTACATGAAAATCTATAAATATGTGTTGATTTCCTTAATAAACGATCTGTTGTCTGGCCCTTGTCTTCTGTAGTTACGGTATGAGAGACTTACACTACAACATTAGCTCACTTTAGTCTAACCGCTATTCGAAAGACCTTTCTGATAGGGTACAACCGGTAGCAACTTCGATCCTGGCTAGTGTAGCTTGTTGGGACATTGAAGTATACAAGCCCGACCACAGCGTCTAGATAGCAGCTATCCGTGAAAACCGACCTTTTTTTTAGGACTGACACATATTTACAATGGTCGGTGACTGTGAAGCAACCAGTGTCACGTATGTCGAGTATTTAGTAGTGCTAACGAATTCACGGCAGAAGTACTTCTGTATATCCCTTGACTATTTTCATTTTTTCATCAGTCATATCTGAAAAATGATGGTATGCAATATAGATATCCTAAGTGATGAAAACGGAAAAAGCCCGATCGACATAACTGAGATCAAGAGAAATTTCCCACATAAACTGGCACCAATTTTTCGGATATGAAAGGAAAACACTTGTGAGTGTCATTCAAAAGCAAAACAACAGGAACATACTCACCTGAATTAATAAACTAGGATCTCTAAAGGTATAATTCAATGTTGCCTCCAGCTCATCAAATCTCCATACTAAACGTGCTTCAGCCAGATACGCTCTATTTTCATCAGTGTCTAAATAATTCGATTTCGGTGAAATCCATGGAGCTCCAGAAGTCAGTCGACCATGACCTGGAAAGAAAGAATATGCTCATTTTGAAAAATATAGAAAAGTTTACAAAGAATCCAATTCACATTTTTGGGGTGAAGTTTCACCGCAGTTTCCTAGTTCGATTTAACGTATTACCAGTACTTCCAACTAACCAGATAGCCAGAATTTAGCGGATTCCATATTACTTTGTTTATTAGATGAATATATCACACAGTGAAACAGTATTATTTACTGGATGACAAGGTTTCGAACACAATTTATCACTGTTCATAATCAAATCAATTATAATCCCAAAACCTCGAAAATGAGTTTTATAGTTTTCTTTGTCCCCTTCTGCTTGTCGTCATAGGGTTGTAGAATTTTCCAGATATCTGGGACAGGTGTGGAATCATTCCTATTACATGTATTTACAGTTGATTCGATAAATGAAGCTTCGGTTATCAATCTCTCCCTACACCCTGTGACATTAGATTTTAAAACTGTCATCCTATTGTATGGTTGTGTGTAATTGCATGTAGTACTTGCGATAGCTGCGGAACTATTCTCTAGATTTTTTATCTTACTATTGGGGTCCACTAATCTAGATTTTGCTAAGTTTTTATGTTCGGCTAGTTTGACTGTCCCTGTCCTACTAGTTTGACCTATGTATTTGACCTGACAATCATTGAGGCAGGGTATTAGATAAACTAAATTGTTTTGTTTTAAAGGCTCCACAGGATCTACACCAATTAACAGACAGAGCTTGTTTGAGTTTGTGGGTGGTTTGAATGCCAGCCAATTTTATTCCTACATTGTTAAGAATTCTGCGTAAGGTGGTTTCCGAGGTTCCTTCCTTGTATGGAATTACTACTGATGATTTAGATTCCTTATTGTTGGTGTTGTCTTGCGCACGTTCGGCAAGCACGCTGTCATTAATATTAATATTATTATTAACATATGCAAGACAACAACAATAAGGAATCTAAATCATCGGTAGTAATTCCACACAAGGAAGGAACCTCGGAAACCACCTCACGCAGAATTCTTAACAAGGCAGGAATAAAAGTGGTATTCAAACCCACAAACTCAATTAGAAACAAGCTCTGTCGGTTAATTGGTAGATCCTGTGAAGCGCTTAAAACAAAACAATTTACTTTATCTAATACCCTACGTGTGTAGATTGTCAGGTCAAATACATAGGTCATACATATAACTGGTGAAATGATTGTGAACAATAAATTGTGTTCGAAACTGTGTCATCCAGTAAATAATACTGTTTCACTGTGTGATATATCCATCTAATAAACAAACTAATATGGAATTAATCACTACCACAGTGTCCACGTTTTACACATATATTAAGAATTTAGGCGATTTGAACTGACTGAACTCTCTTAGCTGAACAAAACAGGTTAAACCACTGACGAGCTCGACTTCAAACGACTGCTTGTCCGTGCGATGTTTAAATCATTGCAATCTAGCTAGAGAGCAGCATTACTGGTTGATATGAGGGGTGTTCGACTTTTCATGTGGTGAATTAACCAGTAGTATGCATAGGGGCATGCATTAAAGGAAACAGCACACATACACGCTAAAAATATGTGCATGCTTGGTAAAGTGAGTCATTATTTGCATAAAAACGAATTACTTTATCGTAGTGTTAGTGTGTTTTATGCTACTGACACGACTTGTCAGTAGTATGTAGATGTAGATTGATGAAAAGCAGTAAAGATTGAAAACAATATTTTAAGTCGATGGCTACAATAGTAGAAGTGTTTATTCCTGAGACCTGGATTTTTTAGCTTACGTTGTCATCAGGAGATAATCTCACAGGGCAACTTTTCGTCTTGGGGTGTGACCTTCGGCAAATCGGCGACCAATCAGAATTGCTCTCTGTCCTCTGACCTAGCCAACGATTGATGTGGTTAGAAATGTATAAATATGGTGTGTTTTTCCGTTACCAAGTCTCTTATCTGCCCCCGTTACATTAGTAGTTGACATTGTCGAAGAACCTTTGTAGATGCATGTCAACCTAATTTGTTCATTGCACCTGAATAATAGTTGGTGGGCTATAAAACATTTCATTGTTGTAAATAGACATCCTCATCAGTGCATGGTGGCTACCTAAGGAATTTTCTTCACTTGAAATCCTGTTGAGAATTCTGTCCAGAATATAGCTGTCATTATGATTGTTATTACTAGAAAAAAATGCAATCTAAACTACGCTAAATAAGTGATTTTCGGAGGGCATTCAATTTTCAGAGTAAATTTATTTCCTCCTGCTCTCATTCCCCACTACTTGTATAAGAAAAACCATTTAAGAAATCGCCTTAAAATACTAATCACTGTATGAGTCATGTGATTTATTATGTGATTGGAGGACTGTAAAATTTCGTAATCTCCCTCTTACCTTGGTGGTCTTGATCCAATCGTAAACCAATCAGAATATTTGTTTGTCTTCGACCTAACCAAATCCCTAACCAATCAGAACAATCCATTTTCCACTGCCCTACAGCGATTCTTATATAGTTAATAATATATAAATATAATGTGCTTTATCCGAATAAAAAATTGCACCCTAAAAGTTACAGACCAGTCACTATCATCTGATATTCACATGGCTCAGTGAAGTGGAAGTACCACCATTGGTGAATAGGCGTCTTTAGCACATTAATTACGTCGTCCATTGCGGCAGTATTATTATAACCACGCGTAAGGCCACCCGGTCATATCAATTAACGACATGTCAATAACAAATTGAAGACGAGTTTTTTTTCAACTGGCGACATACATCGTAACACACCAACAGTTGAGGAGAAAGTGTTAATTTGAAGTAATAAGATGAAAGTTAAGTGGTAATAAACATACCTGATTCTGTATGAACACAATTAATACCAAACCATTGCATTAAACGCAGAGCAGAACGTTCACCACGAGTAGTTAAATAACAACCAATCAACGCTTCAACACAATCAGCTATTGATTTATCCGGTATAGCTTGTTGTATAGCAATTAAACAGTGATTGTTTCTGTAATGGGGAACAGAATAAAACGCATATGTATAAAATAACGAAACAATATTGAAACAAAATATATTTATACTAAGAGTTTATAAATGTGTTAGGTTGGAATGTAGGTTAAATGGCAAAGTTCAACAATAGCATCCCAGGAGTGCGAACGCATGAGTGACCTTCAGCTAACCAATTATAAAAATGAGCAATGTTTGCTCAAAACATGATGTATATTGACAAGAAAATGCTTGAAAACGTATTAAACAGGTTATCTTTCCCTAACGTAGCTTAAAAATACGTCCTAGTTGTAACGAGGAGTATCAGTTGCTAAGTTAGACTGGTTTCTCAACATATATTCAGCAAGATGACTGCAGATAAACTGTTTTTGTGAATCGTTTATCTCCTTCATCCTGCTTGCAGTCTTCCAAAAAAGCCCTCGGTTGAACTGTTACGGTTTCCAGCAAGAGGATAGACGACTACTTACCAGGAAAACGTGGATAATAAAAAAATTAAAATAAATGACATAAACTATAAATCTATTAATAATCGTAACCATAAGCTTAATCCTGACCCTAACACTAACCCTAAAGAGCTATTAACACACTGTCTGAACAGCACATAAAAAGGTGATTTGAGTGAAATTTGCTCCTAAGTTGGTGAATAGCTTTGATATTTCAGCTAGGATAATGGCAGATGCCGTTAGCCAATGACTAGCATGCGTTCAAGTTTATTGGAGCGTTCACAACTCCTGGGAGGCTACTGTTGAACTTCGCCGGTTGTATATATATGCGTCGGTGGCACACCGGTTAGGACTCTCGCCGACCTTGCACACGGTCCGGGGTTCGACCCCCGGCCGACGCACACCTGATACCTATGGTCGGCCTGAGAAATTCGGGCTACCGATATCACATGCTGAAAATTCCATACGTGTACCAAAAATACAGCGTGGAATCAAGCTGTATTCAAAATAAATGAATAAATAAATGTATATATATAGCAGCAGTTTGTGTGTCGGTGGCACAGCGGTAGAATGCTCGCCAACCACGCCTCACGTGATTCGGGGTTCGACCCCTGGCCGCTGCACTCCTTTACCTCGTTAAGCCAGTAATAAGACTAGTAAAGATGGAAGGTTGGGGCATGAAGCTGGCTAGCAACCACATCCCGTAAAAACAAACAGGACTGCTACCGAAACTCCATAGCTCAAGAAGCTTGAAGCATTGTGTCCTACTGGGGAAATAAAGGAATAAAAAAAATGGCAGCGATAAGGAATAGATACTATTATATAGTTGGAGGCAATCAGCCACAGGGAACTACACCAAGGGACGTGTGTACTGCTCAGAAGTTCGCTCCGTCCTTCTCTATGGCTCTGAAACATGGCCAATACGAGTTGAAGACATGAAAAGGTTGACTGCTTTCGATCATAGATGTCTCCGATCCCTGTCTCACGTTAGGTGGTTTCACAAGGTAAGTAATGTTAACGTTAGGCGTAGACTGTTGAACAGGCAAAGAGGGAAAATCAATCGACGAGGCTATAAAGTTACATAGATTGAGATGGCTAGGTCACGTGGTCTGTCTGTCTGTCTGTTTTCGACATAGAACTTTGCACAAATGTGCGGAAGTTCAAGTCGTCACACTCCGTGTAGCACGCGAAGCAAGAGAAGAAAGTACAAGAAAAGCATAATAGAAACAGTGAGCAGAGGTGTGAGACAAAGAAGGACTAATATCGAAGAACAAAACAGTTTCATTGGACATCATAAGTCACAAGGAGTGGATTCATCTGCGCTAGCCACTGAGAACGATTTTGAGCCATATCACCAATTGTTTCCAACCATTGATTTTTATCGTCTCGAGGACCCCAGCCTGGAAGTCTACACCTTTCTACGTGGCTTAGACCAACTGTTGTGGATTTCATTGACTGATGCCAAGTTTTTGTTTGACCGCCGCTAGCTTTTTTCCAGCCTGACCCTATATCCGCTAACATTGATCGTCGAGGGAGGCGATGGCTTGGCATACGTAACACATGTCCTAACCATCTCAATCTTTGTAGCTTCACGACTTCGTCGATTGATTTCCCTGTTTACCTAGAACTCGACGCCTAACCTCAATGTTGCTCACCTTATTATGCCACTTTACACGGGAAATAGAGCGCAGGCACCTATGATCAAAGACAGCTAGTCTTTTCATATCTTCCACTCTCAATGGCCAGGTCTCACAGCCATAAAAGGAGGACGGGGCAGACTGATGAGCAGTACACCCGCCCTTTGGTCGATAGTTGGATATCTCGTCTATGCCAGAGACGGCGTAAACTGGCAAATGCGAAACGAGCCCTCTGTATTCGTGCTGAGATTTCGTCAGAGATCAGCCCGTTGGGGCTGATGGTACTTCCAAAATAAGTGAAGCGGTCGGCGTGTTCTACAACTTCACTTCCTATTTTTAAACTAGGCGTCGATGCAGTCCAGTCCTGTATCATCATCCTGCATTTGGCGGGAGCGAATCGCATGCCAAACATTGGTAGATTGCGGCTCAAGGTCACGTGGTGCGCATGCCTAACCATCGCCTCACCCGAAGACGGGCATTACTAGCTGATAGATATAGGTGCAGGTTGGAAAAGAGTAAGTGGTGGCCAAATAAAAACATGGCCTCATCAATCCATGAAATCCTTGACAGTTAAACTGAGTCAGTCAGGTAGGGAGATGCAGACTTCCGGGTTGGGGCCCTCGCCTCGGGACTCTAGGAATCAATGGCTGGAGACAATAGGTGACATGGCTCAAAATCGTTGTCAATGGCCAGCTCAGATGTATTCAGTCTCTGTAATCCTTCATATTCCTTTCTACCACTACCCATTCTGTTTCACACTCATACTTGTCAAACTCTATTGATTCTCTTCACTCATCTTCTTGTCTACCTTTGTGTGGTATTTGGAACGTGGTAACTCGAAGATGGTGCACTTCAGTGCGAAGTTCTATGTTGAATCCAGACAGACAGACAGGAAGCCTTGGACCTAGGTTTCGTGCTAGTTGGCACTCACCAGTCACCAGGGTGCATCTGCAACCTCAAAGAAACTCATGTCCCTTCTGAGATTAAAACCACGTCACCCAGTGTTGCATTCAGGGACGTCACCACTGAGTTATTCGGGCTCGCGATTAACCAACTACAGTCCTACAGGAGGTCAATCGCGAGCCCGAATAGCTCAGTGGTGACGTCCCTGAATGCAACACTGGGTGACGCGGGTTTTAATCTCAGAAGGGACATGAGTTTCTTTGAGGTTGCAGATGCACCTTGGTGACTGGTGAGTGCCAACTAGCACAAAACTTAGGTCAAGTGAGTCTTCCTGTGGCCGATTGCCTCCAACTATCTAATATTATCAAATTAATGCGCACCGTTATGGCGAGCTACCTAGAATGGTGGCTACATTGCAAACCTGACCAAAAGAATTCAGTCTGCACCAAGGAAAGGACTAGACATGTCACACTAGTTACTAGTATCCAATGAAAAGAATAGATACCACAGTCAAATGATCTTGAACCAGCCAATCAACTGCTTCTAGCATAAAAAGCACGTTTGCTGGATATAAGCATAACAAAAATGAAATATATAAGAGCCTATGTCTCTAATATGCTGTAAAAATAGGTCTCAGTTATCCAATAGACGTGACTACAGTAAATAAACCAGAATGTGTACGAGTAGCAGTTATAAGATCTAAATTAACTAAGCAGCATTAGGTAGTGCGTGTGGGAATCCGAGACAGCCCAGCTGAACTGGTGTGATAAGTCCCTGATTATCCCAAGAGACAATTTCCACTTACAATTATAGCAAATAGACAAACAAAAAAACGTATTATTCAGTTAGCTTACATGTGTTGTGCTCGTATCACCTTTGGATCATTTGGATCCCATTCAGAGATGGTGAAATTTTCAATAGGTTGAATTTTATTCTCATCGATGACTTTAATATCACGTAGAACTTCATCATCCATTAGTGTATCAGTTGACCAAATGACTAAATCACGATTTGGTGGTGGTTTTCTAGCTACTTCACTATCAAGACGTTTATCACGACGTACATAATAGCCTGGTGGTACCCAATTTTCATGTGGTTCAAATTTACCACCAACCATTCGACTTTGTAAGTCTTTAGCTTTACCTAAACGATGTAAATTTGTATTGCACACCTAAAATAGTAGGAGAAAACAAATGGGCAAAATATCCGTAAAACATGAGCTAAAATCAATAAAGAAATGACATTCCTACTCTAGACAGGCGTATGTTTAAGATAGTGAGTATAATTTTCATGAGTTTTGGAGTTTATAAGATTTTTAAAAATTCAATTTGGACTTTCCTGTTGACTGATTGGACCGAAGAGCGCTTGGCCTCAGGTTGACATGTCGGCTCCTCAACGATATCTGAGGATTTAACCTGAAATAAAACTAGTGGATGATGGACTAGCAGTGGAATCCAGGATGTATGCATAATGCGTTCTATTTGGGACTGACTCGCTAGCTGGATGTACCTCTGTTCTTTAGTAAGTTAAATTATCAGACATCGTTGAAGCATCGCATCAAGGAGCCAACATATCAACCTGAAGCCAAGCGCTTCAGTCCAATCAATCAATCGGGAATTGCATGTGGAATTCAATAATTACTGAAACCTATTGCACAAGAAAGAGGTGTTCCTCGTGGCAACGCTTTGATGGTTGGGATTATAGGTACTGGGTTTGAACCAAAGTGCGGACAGCATCACCCAGTGGGGATGCAGGTACATCTAATTGGTGAGTTTGAAACAGGACAAAATACGCCTCCTGCACTCCACTGCTAGTCACCACCCATCAAATTACTTATGGAATTTGTCGACGAATCACTGAAGGGAATAAGTTCTGATATACATTTTGTAGCGGATAGGAAATTTTCAAAGACATCGTCTGATGACAGTAGAAAGGTTAACTCTGTTGACTGGACCTGCTAACTATGGGTCACCCTCCAGAAACCCATTACTACCATCATACATACACAGTATAACCCCCCGCCTCATAGATTGAAGTCAATTATTTTATCATTATTAGATCTACATTATTAGGTGGAACAGAATCCGCAGTGCAGAGGCGTTTGAAACATATAAGCTCAACTCCCGACCAAAGTAGTCGCCATTCGATATTGATTGTGCCTGTCAGTTTATCCATCTAAAACTGCATGTATTGACAGGAGAAATGGTATAACTGAACCTAAAGAACTGCATACCATAGATTTGATTCTCGCTTAATCATTAATTGAATAACCAGCTGCCAGACGGGAGGTGTGGATCCGATTCCCGACCGATGAACTCCTAAACCTCGCCCTAATTACTTTACTAACCGATGGTAAACCCATTAAAGAGGGAAGGTAAGCAGTGAGTCTATTAACCAGTTGAAACACAAAGAATGAATAGACAATCCATAAAAATGATAAATCAATAGTGGGAAACACACACACACACACAAAGTGAAACAATGCCCACGGAAGAAAAGGGAGATACTTACAATTCGACTGCGTAGATGACTTAATTTGCCTTCATGCGCAGCAGGATATCTTAGATACAAGTGTACTGTTACAACAAATTTTAAAAAGCTATCACCAATTGTCTCCATACGTTCTAGATTAATAAAATCATTCGAGCATGACATTGTCAATGCTTGTAGAACTGTAGCAGGACCAGGTCGATAGGCACGTTTTAACGCTTCACCTAAATTCTGTCAACAACAAAAAAAGCAAACAAAAATAAATCAATAAAAAAGGTTGAATGACACCATAAATACTGGCGAAGTTAAAGGCATGACAGCAAAGGTGAAGGTCTTTCAAAAAGTGACCTTCAAGAGCCAACCAGACACAGGGAATGCTATGAAATATCATTCTTATTCAAATTAGGCCTGCCTTTATGGACTAGCAGAGGAATTAGGAGTAGGAGTAGGTTTGGAGAATAGTGTCAGAAATATCAATGAAACTCAGAGTACCATGACCTACAGTCACCTGGATGAAAGGGTATATCACGGATGGTATGATTTCTCTATAGATCATCTGTGTATTGACTGAGAGACATTCTTCCAACACGTAAACTACAACTCTACAGTGTGATATTAAGTTTGTAAATATCTTTTAGTGTATTTTTCAACTATTTGGCGACTTTCTTGTATCTGAATTCTGATTGGTTGTTCAAGATCATTGTGATTTTGGTTGATAGTTTAACTTTGCCAAAATACTCTATGAAGCAAAGGATTCAATAAAAGTATCACATCTACAGTCAACTATATGCCTATTGGTCCACTATTAATAACATTCCCCCAGTGCGACCAATCGGATTAAATTTAGTTGACAGCCATTTTGTAAATCAACTAATCACATTGAAGCCCACTATTTGGACAAAAATATTCACTTTAGTTATGAGCCACAAAGAAGAATAACTGTTAGGTGGAATAATCAATAAAAATGTTGAAAAGATAACAAAAAGGAGTTAAGATTAAGTCTAGAAAAAATAAATTTTCAAGAGTTTGTTTGTAGGCATAACGCAGGGCCTTCCGGTTAATTAATCTGATGTTTGCTAGTGGCTGCAAGAAGTTTCCTGGAGATCCTATTGCTTTCCTCATAAATTCCAGGCTGTGAGCAGCAGGCGCATCTCAGACCAGTCCCAAGACGTCAACATGTTGAGACTCGGAAGATGGTGAACTATACTTGCGAAGGTTGAAGCCACAGGAAACTCTAGTGGATGACCGTAGCGATTATGACATGTGAATCTATCGTATAACTTTAGTATATGAGCGAAAGAGCAATCTAACCGTCTAGTAGCTGGTTCCTTCCAAAGTTTCCCTCAGGACAGCTGGCATTCTGAGATATAAACAGTTTTATCCGGTAAAGCGAATGATTAGAGGCATTGGGGAGAAAACATCCTCAACCTATACTCAAACTGTAAAGAGATGAGGAGCTTAACTCGCTTAAATGTAGTTTTGCATTGAATTTGAGTTCTAATTGGGCCATTTTCGGTAAGCTGAACTCGCGCTATAAGATGAACCAAACGTGCGGTTAAAGTGCCTAACGTCGCGTTAGGCTCATGAGATACCACAAAAGGTGTTGGTTGGTCCATAAGGCAGGACGGTGGCCATTGAAGTCGGAAACCGCTAAGGAGTGTGTAACAACACACCTGTCGAATAAACCAGCCCTGAAAAAGGATGGAGCTCGAGCGTTGGACCTATACCGTATCGTTGCTGCAAGCCGGGCTTAAGTAGGGTGGTGGCAAACTGGCTAAGTCTAGGTATGGAGTGATAGCGATGAGGAGGGTCACTGTGGCTAGCGGACAGCCCCAGGCGTAAACATAGGCGAAGCAACCACAGGTGCAGATCTTGGTGGTAGTAGCGAATACTCAAGGGAGAACGTTAAAGGCCGGGGTGGAGATGGGTTCCATGGGAACAGCAGTTGGGAATAGTTCAGGCGGTCTTAAGTGTTCCGATAAATCAGAAAAGAGACTCAGTGCTCTATATTGTCCGCTTGGGAGCTTTGTTAGTATTGCTGCTAAATAATACTGTTGAAACGCAGCCCCCTGTAGCGAAAGGGAATCGGGTTAGTGTTACCAACCCTATCGTCTACGGAGATCGATGGATTTTTGATCTTTGATTCAGTGTGTGCCCGGTGCGCCAATGCAACCGAACTCGGAGACGTCGGCAGGAGTTTTGGGAAGAGTTCTCTTTCCTTTGTTAAGAGTGTATCCACCCCTTGGAATCGGGCAGACAAAAGTCTAAAGACTGTTCGAAGTGCATTTTTTGATGGTGATACGCCAAGTTTCTGAACCATTTACAATCACCAGTGTTGCAAATCCGAATCATTGTTGTTAATGCTTAGTACAGTAGATTCCAAAGTATAGGAAGGTGTATCTCGCCTTTCCAATCCAGGCAGTGACAACTTCATTCGTACTGCCAGTAGCTAAGATGATGTTGATTAGATAAGTGATAGTGATGACCTCTTTCAATTTACTCCCACTGACAGTGGCTGGTTGTTGTTGTTGTTGGTGGTGGTGGTCGGTGGGTGTCGTCATCATCTTCGTCTTCTCTTTGGTTTTCACTCGTGGATCTTTAAGTCTGTGTAATATATTAGATATAAAAATCCTCCGGGATGTTCAAGCCTTATAGAGTCTCCTTGTCGGTCCAATGTATTCGTCTTCCCGCTTCCCATGGTCTACCTACCGCATGATTCATTCCACCACAAACAACAGATCCACAAAAAGAAAAGTTAAACTCATCAGTTGAAGAAGGAAGACATCAAAGTGGTAAGGAGAGAGAGAGAGAGAGAGAGAGACAGTTATATCCATATTCATGAGAAATGAACAAACACTCACTTTAAATTGAAGTCACCATTTAAGATGTAATCTAGAGGGACAATGAAACCTTGTCAGAACTAAACCATCTGCTTTACAGGAAACAATCACACCTATGAGCTATAAATCTTCATCCCTCCTTCAATACTTGAATATCTGACATGTACACACAACAGAAAAGCTAAAAACAATGAAACATACTACTTATGAAAGGGAAAAAATCAATACTTACTGTTGCACGGTCGTTATTATCATCAGACTGATTATTTCTAATATGACCAGCATCATCAACATTAGGATAATCGTCATCATCATCTTCAGGTGGAAAGAATCGAACATTCCCTTCAAAACTGTCAACACTTTCTGTATCAGAATCACTTCCCAAGTATTCTTTATCCATATTCACATAATTTTCAACAACTCTTGACATCAGAACGGTGTGGGGTTGGGAGAGGGGGTAAAGTTAAACAAAGCAAAATTAAAAAAATTAATGTCTTATATATTTACATATATCCGTCAAATTTAAAGAAATAAGAATACTTGTAAAATACTTCCCCATACATAAAGAAGTAACACGAAGTGGAATAAGTTAAGCTCACATAAGCTACTGACGATATGATTTATCATAACAAAATTGAATGAGTGCAAACATCTGGCAAATTTACGGAGATGAGTAGACCATTAGTAACTTCAATTATTATTATTCCTTTAGGTTCCGAGTGGAACATAGGGTTTCAGGAGTACTTCTCCATTTCATGCTCTCCCCTGAATTCCTCTTTGCCTGGCTTCAGGATTTCTTATAAGCGTTCATCTCTTCCTCACACGAAGATGAGTGAAGAGAATCAATGCAGTCTGACAAGTATAAGAGTGAAACAGAATGGGTAATGGTAGAAAGGAATATGAAAGATTACAGAGACTGAATACATCTGCGCTGGCCATTGACAACGATTTTGAGCCATGTCACCTATTGTCTCCAGCCATTGATTCCTAGAGTCCCGAGGGCCCCAACCCGGAGTCTGCATCTCCCTACCTGACTCAGTTTAACTGTCAAGGATTTCATGGATTGATGCCATGTTTTTGTTTGGCCACCACTTGCTCTTTTCCAACCTGCACCTATATCAGCTAGTAATGCCCGTCGGGGGAGGCGGTGGTTAGGCATGCGCACCGCGTGACCTAGCCATCTCAGTCTATGTAACTTTATAGCCTCGTCGATTGATTTTCCCTCTTTGCCCAACACTCTACGCCTAACGTCAACATTACTTACCTTGTTAAACCACCTAACGTGAGACAGAGATCGCAGACATCTATGATCGAAAGCAGTCAACCTTTTCATGTCTTCAACGCGTATTGGCCATGTTTCAGAGCCATAGAGAAGGACGGAGCGAACTGATGAGCAGTACACACGTCCCTTGGTTGATAACCGGATGTCACGCCTACGCCAGAGATGGTGTAAGTCAGCGAAAGCAGCTCGAGCTTTTCGGATCCGTGCTGAGATTTCATCGCCAATCAGTCCGTTGGTGCTAATACAACTTCCCAAATAGGTGAAGTGGTCAACATGTTCTATCACTTCACTCCCTATCACTAAGTTAGAGTTGACGTGGTCCAGTCCTGTAGCAGCATCTTACATTTTCTGGGGCGAATCGCATGCCAAACATACGAAGATTGCTGCTCAAGGTGTTCAGAAGACTCTGCATTTTGTCAGCATCCTCCCCTAACAGGACTATGTCATCTGCATATTCTAAGTCCATAAGACTATTCCCTGGTAACAAGTCGATTCCTAAGTCATTACGTTCAGTTAAGGATACTTCCATCAGCATATCTATGATGAAGTTAAACAGAAATGGGGAAAGTGGACATCCCTGTCGGACACCACTGGTTGTTACCAATTCAGATGACAATTCCCCATAAGCCCTTACACGACTACGTGAGTTTGAATAGAGTGCCTTGATTAGTGCAATGTACTTTCTTGGCACTCCCTTCACAGTCAGACATTGCCATAGTACCTTTCGATCCACGGAGTCGAAGGCCGCCTTCAAGTCAAGAAATATGACAATTGTTGGACGCCGAAAAGTGTGTCTATGTTCTAGAATCTGTCGAAGAGTGAAGATATGATCTATGCACCCTCTACCTGGTCTAAAGCCTGCTTGATTTTCCCTTGTCTGTTCCTCCCGAGTTCTGCTTAGTCTATGCATGATTACTGAGCCTAGGATTTTAGAGACTATGTTCGTTAGGCTGATCCCCCTATGATTATCACACGAGGACTTGTTTCCCTTCTTGAATATCGGTATAATAAGTGACTTACCCCAGTCTGATGGACTGTCTCTGATTCCCAGACTTTGCCTAGTACCTCAGTTAATCTACAAACTAGTATGTCACCCCCATATTTAAACACCTCCGGAATAATTCCGTCGGGTCCTGCCGCTTTGCCTCGTTTCAAATTACTGATAGCTTTTGTGACCTCACTTACAGACGGCGGACCAGTGTCTATATCCCATTCGGGTGTGTCTGGATGTTGGGGAGGTTCAGTGTGGCTGTAGGCAAGTTAAATTGTCCTCAAAGTGTTCTTTCCAGCGTTCAAGGCGTCTATCCTGAGAGCTAATTAAAGAGCCATTTTTCTCAGAAATAGTCTCGCTTATGATTTGCCTTCTCCCTCCCGTTTCCCTGATGAGTCTCACCTTTGAGTTTACCTTGTTCACAGCTTTTACAGCTGTATCTATAGATGCCTGGATATTCTTCCAAGCTTCTTCAGGGTGAGCACAGCTGTCGAACACAGATATGTGTTTAGCTAGTTCTTCCTCAAATACGGATTTAGTTTCCTGATCGAGCTGGGGACGTGGTGGGTTTACCGCCAGCTGTTTCCTACGTCCGTTCAGTCGTAAGCACACACGAGCCCGGACCAGTGCATGGTCGGTATCTACACACGTGTTCCAGAAGGAGCGACAATCTCCTACCGACCCACGCCAACGATAGCTTTTTGCTATGTGGTCTATTTGTGTCCAGCGTTGGTTTGATGAAGGGGGTCTCCAAGTTAAACAGTGTCTCTCCTTGTGTTTGAAGTTAGTGCTTACAAGAAACAAATAATTATCAGAACAGAACTGTAGGAGACGGTCACCGTTGTCAGTTCGCTGGCACGGAACTCCATAGGTGCCACCGACATCCTTCTCAGATTGACACAATTTCCCTACTTGAGCGTTAAAGTCACCAGCTAGAACGACTATGTCTGAGCGTTTAGCCTTTCTCACCAAACTAGACAGCTTTTGGTAGAACTCATCCTTCGTTTCATCCGAACTGCAGTCAGTGGGGGCGTAGGCGGAGATTACGAAAAGGCATCGGCGAGTAGTGCAGTCCTTTCTCCTTTTTACTGACCCGTTCAGACGGACAGCACACATTCGGCTATCTACCGGGGTCCAGTCAAGCAGTGTCTTTTCTGCCCTAGTACTCAAAGCTATCCCTACACCAGCTAATCCTCGTGAACTAGCTGTGGCATCTCCTGACACCCTCAAGGTGAATTTTGCAGATTCAACCTGTTGGCCAGGTGGGGTTAGGTGAATAACCACACTTGGGTCTTGTATGCGTGTTTCTGAAACACAGCATACATCAATGGCTCGGGATGCCAGGGTCTTGGCTAGTGATGCTTGTTGTCCTATTTGGCAAAGTGTTCTAACATTAAATGCTCCTATATGAAATTGGTGGCGTGGCTTTAGGAGACTATCCGTGGTGGTTTTTTGGCTTTCGTCGTTTTTAGTGGACGCAGAGTGAAGAGGGAGTGAGGAGCCATCAAGTAGAGGAGTTGCATCACTGGGGGAAGGCAAAGTAATAGAGATGAAGATGAAGACAAAGATAAGTGAGGATTAGAGAGGTTTTGTGTGCGTTTTGGATTGTGAGGGCGATTGTTACTTCTCGGCTGCCCACACCGTGGAAGTTGGTTGCGTGACCGCAGAGCCCAGGGGACAACTGCTTGAGGTCGGTCACACGCGGGCTGTTTTTGTTTGTTCTTTTTGTTTGGTGTGTCTCAGTAGCATACTTATCACTCCTGCCCTGTGACACGGCAGCAGGAAGCGCGGTCGTTGTTAATCCGGGCCACGGCCGATCCGGCATGAAATTTTGTGAATTTGTTTGAATCATGGTATTGGATGGGGTAGCTGCTTTTTGTTTAACCGCTATCCAAACAACCTGCCTGGCATGGTAGAACCTCAAGAGACATAAGTCTCAGCCAGTAAAGCTTGATTAGATCATTGCGGTGTTCAAGCCCGACCACCACGTCAAGGTAGCTGCTTTCGGTCGGGCTCAGTAGTATATACGAGAATTAGGAAAAAATTCTAAAAGCTTCCACCTCACCTTATTTGTTACAGCATTTATTCTGGAAAATAACAGGTATGTGGTTTGGAAGTAAATGGTTTTATCAAAGAAAATCAACATCGCGAAAATAAATAGTCTCATTCAACTAGCACGAAACCTATGTGGTGTAAGGCTTCCTGCTAACTGCTTCCAACCATCTAAAAGTAGAATGCTATTTACCGAAATTATATGCAATCACATAGTGAATCATCTTACTGTACTGAAATGCTCAGCGTCTACCGACATTTCGGCTACTAATGCGGACGTATCGACAATGCCATGAGGTAACTATAGTGTTATTTGGTTGGTAGTGGCTAAAAGTGGAATTCACAACGCAGGTCTCTTCCTGTATTTAGAACTGGTCAACCAGAAAGAGATAGGTGACTCTCTTGGCTCAGTATCTCAGTGTATATCAACGCTATGAGGTTTATTGAAAGAAAAGGATGATGCTTTCGAGTCTTACTGTGAACAACAGTATCACTCACTGCAACTAAAAGTACATCCAGCTGACGAGTCTCAAAGAGAACGAAAGGTACATCCTTGATATCACTGTTAACCATTAGAAATAAAAATATGATATGATATAAAGTAAGAAAAACTTCTAACTCACTTGAGTCCATCTTCATCGTCATCATCATCATTGTTCAGTTGATTCATATCTACAGAAAAAGAACGCCCCCGCAAAAAAATGAGGTCATACAATGAACTTCTATTTTCCAATAAGAAAATTGAAAGCGGGAATAAGATTTCTTATGGAATGAATATTAAACAGCCGTATACAGGCTTCAAACTAGGAAGGAATTTTTCAAACTGTGGACGTCTAACGTAGTTTCTCAACTCTGAATGCCGAACACTTTTGTTCAGTGACGATGATCACATTTATTATTATTGCTCCCTTGGGTTCTGAGTAGAACATTAAGGATTCAACAGCACATCTTCACTTTGGTTAGAGGCTTTCATTATGAGCTGACATTGGTAAGAGAACCATTGGAAAACCAGCAGGGAGTACTGAACAGTCTGCTGTCTCCTGTTAGCCCGGGACTCTTCAGCGGTACGCACCCACCGGAGTTCGAAGCCAGGACCTTCTGGTTTCAAGGCGAGCTAGCTCGTAGACCATTAGGCCACTGGGACCCGGTCCAACGGCCAGCCCATGAATTCTAGCTTTTGCTAATTCACGACATTCCCGGGTTCGAACCCCGGTGGGTGCGTACTGCCGAACAGTCCCAGAATAGGACTAGACAGCTATCTGGTTTCCCAATGGTTCTCTAATCAATGTCAGCCCATGATGAAATCCTGCAACCAATCAATCAAATCCCTACAAACCATCACTTAAACATCACAACTTTGTTCTATTCTCCACATTCCTCTTTAGCTTACCCCCCCCCACGATTATCCCATAGTCTTTCCTCATACGATCTCCCCCATGTCATTTCAAGACCCACGCCCAACCCGTCGTTATCTATTCGCGCTAGCCTAGTGCGAGATGTCGTTCGACAGTCTTCTACCTCAGTATGTCACATAATGGACCAAATTTGGACGTTTCTTCCTACTGCCACTTTGGTTATAGTAGAGACAGATTCTTCCTTTCGGTTCTACCGAAAGCTCATGACTAGTTGAATAAAATAAATCAGGTGAGTGGATAGATATTTACCCATGACTTTGCATGACATTCCCTGCATACTGAAAAATGAAAGGCGGCAGTATTACAAAAAAGAACTATTACCATCAAACAGAGGTACGAAACATCATTCAACTTAGTGCCTAGTTAGGTCACCAGCTATCACTTAAAATACCACGGAACTAGAAGAGGAGAAAATGTCATTAAGTATTGTGGTGTTGTTTAAGCTTATTTGAGATGTCTATACTACCCTTTCTAGGACTAACCTCAGTGATAGCTTCAAAGTGAAGTCAGCCTTGTAAATCCACTAGGAATGACACAACCATGTTTCATAATCACCTTGACTGTAACTGAATTTCCCCGGAGATCCCTTTTTTATCACCTTGTTGACTTGCATTGGTATAAACCATCTCAGTAAGGAATTTCGAACCTAATTTGAGGTGATCATTGAATGATATCGCTCGCCGGGTCCACGAGTGGAACCCAAATGAGAAAATATGAGTATGGCATCCATGTAGAACATGCAGGAGATCGTGTCAAGAGGAAACGAAAGAATGTAGGCAATTTTGTTCCCAGTTAGAAGTGAATTCAAAAAATAGAGTGAAATTAGGATGCGCTGTTTGCTGAAGCCTTGTGTCCCACCACCCAGAGTCCAAAGCAAGTGGTAATAATATGTAAAATGAGAGGTTTCGTCCACTACAACTGACCGGATTTATACTCATCTAACTTAAAGCAAAAAATGAAAGCTGTGCTTCCTCCAGTCAATCGTCGTACACAAAAAAAAACAATGAGTTTATTTTATAGCAACAGAACCATACCATGACCGTTATGTATTCTCGCTAAGAAAATAGCACAATTTTAGCCCATTAAATTGTACTACTTATTTATTTTTCAGTAGAAAGAAATTGCTAAGCAAAAAATTAACGTAAAGTAGCGGCGCATCAGTAAACTTACCGCTGGAGTTCAATTCAATTACTTTGGTTTCTTGTAATAATGATTCTAAGTTAGGATTCAATGAACCAAACTGACCGCATAGCGGAACATTAGATGTATGATTTAAATGACCTTTAGTAAACACTGATGCTGATGTAGCATGAAGTTTTAAAACAGTTGGTTTTTCTAACGATGAATCATCAACTGTACCAGCACCATCTTGTTGAACCCGATAATCACCATCGTCACCGTCACCGTCACTGTCTCCATCATCATCTTCATTACCGATGCCATCATCACTTGATACATTGACATCATTTTGTCTGTCTTCATGTCCTTTAGATTTGTTTTTGTTTTTCTTACTGTCCGATAGTTCAATAGTGTTCACTGTTTCGCTTAATTTTTGAACATCTATAAAAGAGGGTAAGACGTGTGATGTATGTATATGCATATATAATTTCCCATTATCTTCAATGTAAAAATGAAATTCCCGCCTCAAGGAAGTCAAAATGATTAGTTAGCTACTAGGGTCAACCTAGCTTTAGAGTCACCAACAATATACGAACCAGCAACGATCACGTACGGCAGAGGGGGGGAATCAGTCTTTCCCTTGAAATACTCTCACGTAGCCAAGTAAGTCCTATTCACTGCTTCCACACGGCATGGGTGTTCGATTGTCTCACGCTAACAATTATATGGTGGACGTGCCAGTTTACCTGAGGGTGGGTGGGAAACCCTGATTCCACCACTATATATAGTGTGTTCATGGATGGAAAATCATAGAAATGTACCTCGTGGGTGACACTTCAAGTCAGAAGTTCAAGAGCGGCCCCTCGCAACAACAACAACAACAACCTGCTTCGGTCTGGGGGCGTGCCGGTAGTATACCAGCCCTAATACATACACAAACTATGAGATTTTGTGTGGTGCGCGGAATGTAGCATATTTGTCCTAAAATGTACTTCTGAACATCTTACAATCTTACATCTTTCAACTAGATACCGTGGATTTCTTGAAGGAGACAAAGCAGGTGTATCACAATATGGAATGGTTTATGCTTCAGCTGCTCAGAGACCATTGTGTGTGTGACAGGATATACTGTCAATTAATATTTTACTTGAAGATATTGTACGCAGGGGAGAATGCCGTGCAATAAACTCCCTTGGGAATTTATGTACATTTTATATATCCTGTCCAGAATAAAGATATTATTATTATTAAAGCATTAGCTATTTTGTAAGGATTTGAGTAACTATTATATAATGGAAAAAATTGAAAATAGTATTAAAATATACCCAAAGACGAGATCTTGTGAAGTTGATGAAATTCTCTTCCAGAAGTTGAGATTGCCAAATATCACAATTATCAATCAGGTCTGGTCAATCAGCTTCCTCGAAACAACGGCTGCTATTCTCACATGGCGTAGTTGGGCTTACATATGGAGCGCTACACTACCGCCTGGAACCAGTGTTCCTGTTGGCTCTACCTATCCCATAAAGGACACTAGCATAGCCTATCCATCCTGGAGACGACGGAGTTGTATAAATCGACTAACCTGCCTGCTAGTAGTCTGTAGCCGGTATAGTACAGATCTTATTTAATAGGGATAAACAGCACTAATAAGCAATCTACTCACTAATGAAATAAAAAACAGTACACAATTTTAAACTTAAATAGATGATTGGAGGCAATCGGTCACAGAAAGCCTTGGACCTAGGTTTCGTGCTAGTTGGCACACGAAGAGACATGAGTTCCTTCAAGACGGTTGCAGATACGCCTTTCTGATGAGTGCCAACTAGCACGAAACCTAGGCGGTGTCCAAGGCTTCCTGTAGCCAATTGCCTCCAACCATCTAATACCAACATTTCACAGTGCACTGTAATGGTGAGCCACCTAGTGGCACGGTGGCCACATTGCAAACCTGATTGACTGATAGAATTCAGTCTGCGCCGAAGATAGGACTAGACACAAAACATTACACTAGTTACTGACTAGTATGCAATCAAAAATAAACTAAAATAGGTTCATTGAAATACCTGATTCATTCTCTTTCACAATCGGTGTTGTATTATTGGATTTATTAGTATTATTATTATTATTATTAGAAGTAGCAGCAGTCTGATTTTTCCTCTTGAGATTACGATAGTTTTGCTTTCGACGACCTCGACGACAACCAGCACCGCTGCCACTACGTCCTATACCACTGCCAGCAGCACGTGTGCTATCATTATCTGTTGAAGATTTTCTCGCATTTTTATAATGATTATTACTATTATTGTTATTATTATCGTCATCATTATCATCATCGGTATCATAATTACGATCTTGAATCGATTGATTGTTCACTATAATTTGATCTACAACTGGTAGAAGAAAGTTTAACGGTTCAAACAAGGTGGTAGAGTCAGCAGTGTTACGAACAGCACTCCCGACCCCATCAGCAGCATCCTTTTCACCACCAATCATTGGTATAGATGATATTGCTGAATAACAATTGACAAAATCTTCTTTCGACAATACTTCATATTCTGGCAATTGAGCACAGCCTAAATTTATCTCATAGGCAATACGATGACGTAATTCTTCGGCTAATAATAAATGCTCTAATCGGTATAGGATACTTGGTATACAAACAGCTTTACGCCATACTGAAAAAAAATAATAATATTAGAAAGAGGAGGGGGGTGGAAAAGAAAAGGAAACAGAATGAATAATTGAGAGTACAAATAAGGATAAAATTATTGAAATTAAAAAATCAATACATTCCGTTTGAACAACAAAAAAACGAAGCTACGTAAGTAATTAATTATCTGGAACTAACAGCTGACTGCTAACTGTTTCGTTTTCGACATGACAGCATTTATTGATTTCAGTCTTCTGGCGTTCCGAATGGAAAATATGCCTTCACGTTTTGAGGTTTCAGTAGCAGTGGTAATATTTTGATTTACGAGAAGCAATTGCTGGCCTCATGCCTAACCTCCATTATTTCTTCGATCTCAGTACCGGCCAGGGATCGAAACGCTGACTACGTGAGGTGTGGTTGTCGATCATTCCATCGCACGACCATTGACGTCCGGGATAACATACGTCACTGTATTTGTTTTCGGATGTTGTATTCTACTCCTGCGAAAATGAACTGCGGTTTTTCATTTGAAGTAACATCAAAAACACGACAAGAGCAAAGGATAGGTACCACAGCGGAATGACCTTGTATCGATCGACCAGTCAAATCTATCAAGATTAAAAGTCTCACTCTAATTCAGAGTTGGGGTAGGGGAATTAAGATAGAGTTAGTGTTGTGGGTAGGGTTAAACTTGCAAGGCAGATTACATGTAGCGTCTTTCTGTAACGTTGAGAGATCTGATTGGTTAGTTGTGAAGGTCGTTTGGCGGAGATATCTATTTTATACTCTTGCTCAAAAAACTATGTGTCACAATGACAACTTATTTAAAGAATTGTACATGTTGCTAGCAGCTGACAAAAAACTATTTCCATAGAATTATTCAAGTTTATCAAAGGAAAAATAATCCCATGGAATCCTGGTTACCTTTTCCGAATCGCTAACCATGACTAATGATGACAATATTTACATTCAGGTTTGGGGACATTATGTAATGAAACACAAACGCTATGAATCAGTCTGAACCAAGTGGGTACATATAGAGGTATGAAGAAATGGTAGGAGGGTCCCTTCGAATCTTTGTTGGTAGACTCAAATTGTGTTGATTTCTAAGAAAAATTTTCGTTTGATTTATTACATCAGTACTGATGATGAGATGGTTAAGACATGGGTTACGTATGCCTAGTCATCACCTTCCTCGACTTCGGGCAATGTTAGCTGATATAATGTCATGCTGGAAAAGAGCTAGCGGGGAACAAAAACAAAAACACGGCATCAGTCAGTGAAATCTACAACAGTCAGTCTAAGCCACTTAGGGAGGTGTGGACTTCCTGACTGGTTGGGGTCCCCGGGACAGTAAAAACCAATGGTTGGAAACAATTGGTGATATGGCTCAAAATCCTCGTTCTCAATGACTGGCGCAGATGCATCCACTCCCTGTGACTTATGATTTCCAATGAAACTGCGTTGTTATTCGTTACTACTCTTCCTTTATCTCACACCTCTGTTTACTGTCTCTATTATATGCGTTTCTTTTTACTTTCTTCTCTTGCTTTGTGTGCTACATGGAGGGAGTGTGACGACTTGAACTGCCGCGCATTTGTGCAAAGTTCTATGTCGAAAACAGACAGACAGACTGATGATGAGTCTCAAACTAGGACGAAATAGCTGTCCAGTACTCCGTGTTGGTTTACCATTTCAACTCCAACTGTGTTCACCAGTTTACATGCACTTGAGCGGTAGCAATTAGTACATAGAAAGGACTAAGTAGAGATCAATCTACTGTACATCTTAAGCATATTCTCAATAATCTTCATATGAAAGGTAAGAAAACGTGTTTACAAGTGCAATTGCTAAGCTCTTGATTGACACGAGATATATACAATCAAAATCAGTCAACAAGCCTTCACAAACGCAGATTTTGAGCCATATCAGTAACAGTCTCCAATCGTCATTGGTTCTTATCATCCCGAGGACGTCAATCATCCAGTCAGCCAGTCTATGCCTCCCTATAGCGCTTCAACTAACAGTGATGGATTTATTTCAGTGACTGTTGAAGCTATTTTTCAATTGACCATCACTAGCTCTTTTCCAACTTCATCCATTCTACGTCAGTCAGATACCATTGACCGCTGAGGGAGACCATGGCTAGACTAGGCAAGGCATGAGTAATACATATCCTAACCATATCTGTCAGTCCATGTAAATCCACAACCTCATCAATTTATTTTCTCTCCTCCTTACCTAGCACTCAACCGAAGCCTAACCTCAATATTACTCACCCTATAACAATTACCACCTGACACGAGATATAGAAGGGAAACACCTGTGATCAAAGACAACTAGCCAGGACTTTTCGTGTCTTCCACTCTCAATAGCCACGGCTCACTCACAGCCAGCTTTAAAGGAGGGCGGAACGAAGTGACTGCTGAGCAGTACACACGTCCTTCAGTCGACAGTCAACCAGCCGGAGATCACATCTACTAAGCCAGAGATGGCGTAAGTTGCTGTCAAATGCCAAATGAGTCTTCTGTATCCATGTCGAGGTTCCATCAGCAATCAACCCGTTGATGATGGGGCTGATGTAACAGGAACGAATCACATGTCGAACATTTGAATACTGCTCGCTGCTCAAGGCGTTTAGAAGACTCTAGTCTTTGTCAGCATCTTTCACCTAGGAGGACTATATCATCCGCATATATCTAAGTTAATCCCTGAGTCGCTGAAGTCCGATAGCTTTAAGTCCATTAATAATAATAATAACTTTATTCCAAACAGTATTTGTTTTACACGTATGGAAATTTCATCGTGCATTACAATATATTGCATCTAATTACCTCATAAATTTTATGAGAATTTAAAATCAAAAAGTAACGCCACACAAAAGATAAATAAAAAAATAAAAACAACAGCGTTGCGTTCACATTTTAAACAATGCACCACAGGATAAGAAATATAAAATTGGTGTGTAATAGAAGATGAGAACAACAGTGTAATAGTAACGAGGAAAGGAAAACAAAAACTAATGGGACTATTTGTTAGAGTGCCGTAGTAAGTTTATGGTGTCATACCTAACGGATTTCTCATCACATAACAGCTGTGCCAGATATGGTATTGTGGAGTTTTTGTACTTGGTAGTCCTAGCATATAGCCTCTTATAGCTGCTTCTAGTTCTTCCAGATGAAATGCAAGGAGAGAGCTGCGTGTAGAGAGGATGCTCGGGATCTGACAATATTGTATTCGCTAGTCTCTTACATGACATTATATGTCTATCCATAATCGTGTTAACCAGTTGGTTTAACGATATTCCACTTGCCCTACTAACGGCTTTTAGTGCCCTTCTCAGCAAAGTAAAGTCTTTCTTAAGTAGTCCAGGAAAGATTAATGGGGAGCAGTAAAGAGGGATGGGTAGAATACAAGAATTGACAAACTGAGAAAGCAAAGACTGCTTTATGCCAGACTTTCTAAATTTCCTAACGTAGGACGTTAAGCGAAACATCCTTCTAGTAACTAGCAAGATATGGGAGGACCAGGAAAGATCGGTGGAAAAACTCAGGTCAAGGTACTTGAAATCAGATGTATTTTCAACTTCTATGCCGTCAATGATGGTGGGGCCATGTGAGCTAACAAGTTGTTGTAGGTAACGTTTACGTCTGAATGTGAAATTGACTACCTGACATTTAGACGGATTCAGCTTAAGGCCGTTTGAAGAGGACCACTGACTAATTTTCGACAGAAAGTTATTTAATTTGGAACAATCTGAGTGATGCTTGACAGGAAGAGAGACAGAGAGGTCATCAGCATACTTAACAAAAGTGGCTACATCAGAATGAGGCAAGTCATGTAAGAAAAAAGAAAACAGAAAGGGAGAAAGAACAGCACCTTGAGGAACACAAGCTAAAGTAAGTGAGGTAGTGGAGGACTTTCCATTGTAGACGGTGTACTGCTTCCTATCACAGAAAAATAGGAATGCAACCACTTATTTGTTCAGCTCTCAGCCTGTGTTGCAGCAAGCTTACTTAGCAAGAGAGACCTAGGTACAGAGTTAAATGCAGATGTGTAATCAAGGAAGGCACACAGAACGTATTTAGCTCCTTTATCTAGACTAGAGACTATACTATGATGTAGAATAACAGCGGCATCTAAGGTACACCTACACTATGTTTATAAGCAAACTGGTTGGGGTCATTGAAAGGCTTTAAAGAGGGTTCAAGATTAAGTACATCTATAATGAAATTAAAGAGAAATGCAGAGCAACCAAATGAGATTACCACTTACCAGAAGCAGGAAATGTATGTCGAAAACAAAGTTCTGGAATTAATAATTGTTTATGTGTTAAATGATCCCGATGATCGTATTGTTGGTGTTGGTGTTTACGTGAAGAAGTCATAGTAGATAGCATAGACGATGAATTATTAGTATTAGTATTATTATCACCATTAGTAGTGGTAGTATTACAATTGTTATTATTATGATTAGAAGATGTCATAAGATTTTGTCCATGTATATTCATATAACGTGGTATAATTAAATTTAATCGTATCACTGTTAAATCCACATCTAATAAAGGTTGATTATTTGTTGTTATTATGGCATTGTACTTATTGATATAATATGCAGCAAAATTACGATAATTTGTTGACGGGAACGGTGATAACGGACTCATATCATATCTGTAAAATCAATCATTAAGAAAATATTTTTAAAAAAACACATAAGCTTGTATACATATTTTATTTTATTTTTATTTTTGATTTACAGCTTGATTCCACACTGTATTTTTGGTACAACTATGGGATTTTCAGCATGGATATCGGTAGCCCAAATTTCGCAGGCCGACCATTGATATCAGGTATGGGTCAGGAGGGGATCGAACCCCAGACCATATGCATGGTCGGGGAGAGTTCTAACCACTGTGTCACCGACGCACAAACAAGTGATCGAACAATTACTGCGTCAGAGTCATTGAGGCAAAAAAAAAAGAGATTTACAAGCACACACACAAACATGAGTACATAAATAAGAGAGAATATGAGTCATGTACTGTTATACCATATAAGGACGGAGGGAACATCTGAGACCAACCCCTGCGTAGAATTCTTAATAAAGCGGGAATTAGGCTGGTGGCATTTCAAACCGACAAGCTCACTCAGGTAGGACAAGCTCTGTAGGTTAAAAGACCCGGTGGGCCCAATTAAACATAATAATATAATTTACAAAATACTTAGCAATGACTGTGAGGTCAACTACATAGGTCAAACTAGTAGATCACGGGTAGTCAGATTGTCAGAACATAAGAATTCAGCTAAGGTAGGAATGCTTCACCCCGAGAAGATAAGTAATTTAGGAAAAAGCTCAGCAATTTCACAACATGCAGTAACACACAACCATGCAATAGGGTGGAAGAGGGGTTCTATGTTGAATCCAGACAGACAGACAGAGGAAGAAGAGTAAGATTCTAAGAAGTAATCTAGGTAGGTAGGTAGGTAGGTAGAGAGAGAGATCGATTACTGAATCCTGCCTGGTTCATCGAGTCTACACCCAACACATGCAATAGAAGTGACTCAATGCAAATACAAGAAATATGGAAGATATTATTACCACCAATCAGTCAGTCAAATCAGAGGAGGATAATAAATAATCATAAAATTCTATTTCAATTCAAGCACATCACAACATTCTAACAAGTTATTTATTATGACTATAAAAAACACTCGTCTTATTTCTCATCTGATTGTATTTGATCAATAACACTCATATTATCATTACTTCTGAATGTACATTATCCCATACTGATTTTTATTCAAATATCTATTCGATTCCACACATGTATATAAATGAAGGGAAAAAGATATGTGAGTAAGTTGATATGATTATGAGTGGCAATAGTTTTTGCTCGAAACGTGGTCATCAGTTAATATTACTGTATAACCACACTGTGTGATTTATCAAAATAAAATCTTAATCATAATGGAGTTCACTCAACACTTGACATATTTCAAGTGGTGATTTGTAGAGATTGAGATATCAGTCAGAGACCATTTCCAGTCACTACCACCCTACTTCTCAATAATGGCCAGCCAATGAATTCTAACTTGTGTGCGTCGGTGGCACAGTGGTTAGGACTCTCGCCGACCATGCATATGGTCCGGGGTTCGAGCCCACGCCGACGCACACCTGATATCTATGGTCGGCCTGCGAATTTTGGGCTACCGATATCCACGCTGAAAATTCCATACTTGTACCAAAAATACGGTGTGGAGTCAAGCTGTAATCAAAAATAAAATAAAAATAAATAAAATAAACTTCTACCCACTTGTGACTTCTTTTAGTTCGACGGTCACCAGTCAGTGTCATAGCCAGCGAGTAGTTGTCTTCTCTCCCGACTGGATGGAACCCGCTGGTTACTAGAACTCCAGGGAACTTACTTCGTATCCTGAAGCCGGGCACTAGTGAGCACCAGATTAATTTTCATGAGTTTGTTTGTAGGGATTAGATTTGTTTCAAGTTTGATCACGATCACAGAACTAATGATAACCAACACGTGGGTTGTGGACTGCTATTTTAACCTAGCTTGGAACTCTCTTTGATGCAGTAGGCGGCCATGGCTCCACGGCCTCCAAGTTGTTGTGAGACCAGTCCAATTAACCATTAGGCTGCTAAGATAGAATCCAACAATCCATGAATTCTTATTTCCGTAAATTCATGATTAGAACTCCAGGAGTTTAGTTTACAAGTGTTCGTTTGCAAGGATTTCATCAATTTCAGGGCAGACTGTGGGAACGGAACATGCGCGCATCACTGCATTCTGGTGCTGTTGGCTACCGTCGATCGTCAAACAAGAAATTTAACACTACATTCTAGTTCATTAAATAGTGTAACCAAACTGTTTTGCTGGAGTGGTCCTAGATGGTCATCGTGACCCAAAAGATATAGTAAATAACACTTCAGCGTTTGAAGTGATGCCTACTGGGTTCGAGCCTCAGAAGAAACACTACCTCACACTGTGGACTGCAGATAAATCTAGATGATGACTCAGTCTCAAATAGGATGGGATGCTCATCCTGGATTTCACTGTTAGTCACCACACACCAAATTATTTCATGTTAAGTGCCAAGAAATCGTCGAAGCATCAGCACAGGGAGGTGACATTTCAACCGAAGCCGAACACTTCGGTCCAATCCGTCAACAGGAAATTCCAAATTTAATTAAATAAATTATCCTTATTTGTTTATAATTCTAAAACATACTAATATTAACTACAACTGCAAGGTGCAGGGGCTATGGCTCATGGATTCAGTCTTAATCAGCTTCCAACCACCGGGAGTAACAGTTTCAAACAGCGCGTCGACTACTGAAGTTTACCTGATTACATAATTTTCAATTCTTCATTTTTTAAAATTCGATCAGAAGGAGAAATTCATGAACAATCCACATACATCTAGACATTAATGATGTCTGTCTGTCTGTCTGGATTCAACATACAACTTCGCACCGAAGTGCACCATCTTCGAGTTGCCACGTTCCAAATACCACACAAAGGTAGACAAGAAGATGGGTGAAGAGAATCAATAGAGTTTGACAAGTATAAGAGTGAAACAGAATGGGTAATGGTAGAAAGGAATATGAAAGATTACAGAGACTGAATACATCAGCGCTGACCATTGACAACGATTTTGAGCCATTTCACCTATTGTCTCCAGCCATTGATTCCTAGAGTCCCGAGGCGAGGGCCCCAACCCGGAAGTCTGCATCTCCCTACCTGACCGACTCAGTTGAACTGTCAAGGATTTCATGGATTGATGAGGCCATGTTTTTGTTTGGCCAACACTTACCCTTTTCCAACCTGCACCTATATCAGCTAGTAATGCCCGTCGTCGGGGGAGGCGATGGTTAGGCATGCGCACCACGTGACCTAGCCATCTCAATCTATGTAACTTTATAGCCTCGTCGATTGATTTTCCCTCTTTGCCCAACACTCTACGCCTAACATCAACATTACTTATCTTGTGAAACCACCTAACGTGAGACAGAGATCGCAGACATCTATGATCGAAAGCAGTCAACCTTTTCATGTCTTCAACGCGTATTGGCCATGTTTCAGAGCCATAGAGAAGGACGGAGCGAACTGCTGAGCAGTACACACGTCCCTTGGTTGATAACCGGATGTCACGCCTACGCCAGAGATGGTGTAAGTCAGCGAAAGCAGCTCGAGCTTTTCGGATCCGTACTGAGATTTCATCGCCAATCAGTCCGTTGGTGCTAATACAACTTCCCAAGTAGGTGAAGTGGTCAACATGTTCTATCACTTCACTCCCTATCACTAAGTTAGGGGTTGACGTGGTCCAGTCCTGTAGCAGCATCTTACATTTGACAGCAGGGGCGAATCGCATGCCAAACATACGAAGATTGCTGCTCAAGGTGTTCAGAAGACTCTGCATTTTGTCAGAATCCTCCCCTAACAGGACTATGTCATCTGCATATTCTAAGTCCATAAGACTATTCCCTGGTAACAAGTCGATTCCTAAGTCACTACGTTCAGTTAAGGATACTTCCATCAGCATATCTATGATGAAGTTAAACAGAAATGGGGAAAGTGGACATCCTTGTCGGACACCACTGGTTGTTACCAATTCAGATGACAATTCCCCATAAGCCCTTACACGACTACATGAGTTTGAATAGAGTGCCTTGATTAGTGCAATGTATTTTCTTGGCACTCCCTTCACAGTCAGACATTGCCATAGTACCTTTTGATCCACGGAGTCGAAGACCGCCTTCAAGTCAAGAAATATGGCAATTGTTGGACGCACATTAATGATGAAGAAAAAAACACGTAGATCAGCGAAGAGGCGCTCTATTCCACGGCGAATTCATTTTCTCCTTTAGAGTTAGTCGTACAATCGCATTTATAAACAATCTCCTTTTCATGAAAGAGGACAATAACAAAAGTGATGCGTTGTCAAAAACACAGTTGTGAATATATTAGTATTATTATGTATATGTATATATGTATTAGTATAATAATGTATAAAAGAAGTTGAATAATTGTAGTAGAGTTACGTAACAAGTGGATAATTTAATCAGTTGAGTTGTGATCAGCATGCATATAGAAACAAAGGAAAATTTGGAATTGTTTATGAGTTCTAAAGAAATAAAAGTTATACGGATTCAAGTGTTGGTTTGTAGGGATTTGATCGGTTTACAGGATTTCATCATGAGCTACCACTATTTAGAGAACCATTGGAAAACCTGGGAGTACTGTACAGCTCTTTCGTCCTAGTTTTGGAATCTCCAGCAGTACGCACCCACCACCATGGTTCGAACCAAGGACATCCTGGTTACAAGGCGAGCTGGCTCACATACCATTAAGCCACTGGGACCAAACCAACACTTGCATATCAATGAGATGCTCACTAGCGACTGGCCCTATTCACGTAGGTAGTTACCTGAAGCTCTAGTGACATGTCGTGACTAGTAGGGTGCAGCAAGTCGGGTGTGAAGACAAATACTCACCGAAGACATTGGCTAGCGGTTGCGCTATGTCGTGAATTGGCAGAAGTTAGAATTCATGGGTTGGTCATTGGATCGGGTCCCAGTGGCTTTTAATGGTCTACGAGCTGGCTCGCCTTGTAACTAGGAGGTCCTGAGTTCGAACCCTATTGGTGAGTAT